ATATGTCCACACTTAAAGTCTGAGGTACTGTTCAGTGACCAGGGTAACTGACATGTCTACAATACTGGTCTGAGGTACCGTGCAGTGACCAGGGTAACTGACATGTCCACACTACTGGACTTAGGTACCCTCCAGTGACCAGTGTAATTGACAAGTCCACACTACTGGTGTGAGGTGCCCTCCAGTGATCAGGGTAACTGACATGTCCACACTACAGGTCTGAGGTACCCTGCAGTGATAAGGGTAACTGACATGTCCATGCTACTGGTCTTAGGTACCCTCCAGTGACCAGTGTAATTGACATGTCTACACTACTGGTCTGAGGTACCCTCCAGTGACCAGGGTAACTGACATGTCCACACCACAGGTCTGAGGTACCGTTCAATGACCAGGGTAACTGATGTCCACACTTAAGGTCTGAGGTACTGTTCAGTGACCAGGGTAACTGACATGTCTACAATACTTGTCTGAGGTACCGTGCAGTGACCAGGGTAACTGACATGTCCACACTACTGGTCTGAAGTACCGCTCAGTGACCAGGGTAACCAACATGTCCACACTACTGGTCTGAGGTACGCTGTAGTGACCAGGGCAACCAACATTTCCACACTTAAGGTCTGAGGTACCCTGCAGTGACAAGGGTAACTAACATGTCCAAGCTACTGGTCTGAGGTAATCTCCAGTGACCAGGGTAACTGACATGTCCACACTACTGTTCTGAGGTACCGCTCAGTGACCAGGGTAACTGACATGTCTACAATACTGGTCTGAGGTACCGTGCAGTGACCAGGGTAACTGACATGTCCACACTACAGGTCTGAGGTACCCTGCAGTGATAAGGGTAACTGACATGTCCATGCTACTGGTCTTAGGTACCCTCCAGTGACCAGGGTAACTGACATGTCCACACTACTGGTCTGAGGTACCGTTCAGTGACTAGGGTAACCAACATGTCCACACTTAAGGTCTGAGGTACCCTCCAGTAACAAAGGTAATTGACATGTCCACTCTACTGGTCTGAGGTAAACTGCAGTGACCAGGGTAACTGACATGTTCACACCACTGGTCTTAGGTACCCTCCAGTGACCAGGGTAACTGACATGTCCACACTACTGGTCTGAGGTACCGTTCAGTGACTAGGGTAACCAACATGTCCACACTTAAGGTCTGAGGTACCCTGCAGTGACAAGGGTAACTGACATGTCCATGCTACTGGTCTGAGGTACCCTCCAGTGACCAGGGTAATTGACATGTCCACACTACTGGTCTGAGGTACCCTGCAGTGACCAGGGTAACTGACATGTCCACACTACTGCCGTTCAATGACCAGGGTAACTGACATGTCCACACTACTTGTCTGAAGTACCGCTCAATGACCAGGGTAACCAACATGTCCACACTACTGGTCTGAGGTACCCTGTAGTGACCAGGGTAACCAACATTTCCACACTTAGGGTCTGAGGTACCCTGCAGTGACAAGGGTAACTGACATGTCCAAGCTACTGCTCTGAGGTAATCTCCAGTGACCAGGGTAACTGACATGTCCACACTACTGGTCTGAGGTACCCTCCAGTGACCAGGGTAACTGACATGTCCACACTACAGGTCTGAGGTACCGTTCAATGACCAGGGTAACTGACATGTCCACACTACTGGTCTTAGGTACCCTCCAGTGACCAGGGTAACTGACATATCTACACTACAGGTCTGAGGTATCGTTCAGTGACCAGGGTAACTGACATGTCCACACTACTGGTCTGAGGTACCCTCCAGTGACCAGGGTAACTGACATGTCCACACTACAGGTCTGAGGTACCCTCCAGTGACCAGTGTAACTGACATGTCCACACTTAAGCTCTGAGGTACCCTCCAGTGACCAGTGTAATTGATATGTCCACACTACTGGTCCGAGGTAACCTCCAGTAACCAGGGTAACTAACATGTCCACACTACTGGTCTGAGGTACCCTGCAGTCACTAGGTTAACTGACATGTCCACACTACTGGTCTGAGGTACCCTCCAGTGACCAGGGTAACTGACATCTCCACACTACTGGTCTGAGGTACCTTGCATTGAGCAGGGTAACTGACATGTCCACACTACTGGTCTGAGGTACCCCCCAATGACCAGGGTAACTGACATGTACACACTACTGGTCTGAGGTACTGTTCAGTGACCAGGGTAACTGACATGTCCACACTACTGGTCTGAGGTTCCCTCCAGTGACCAGTGTAATTGATATGTCAACACTACTGGTCTGAGGTTTCCTGAAGTGACCAGGGTAACTGATATGTCTACACTACTGGTCTGAGGTACCCTGCTGTAACCAGGATAACTGACATGTCCACACTAAAGGTCTGAGGTACTGTTTAGTGACCAGGTTAACTGACATGTCCACACTACTGGTCTGAGGTACCGTGCAGTGACCAGGGTAACTGACATGTCCACACTACTGGTCTGAGTTACCGCTGCAAGTGACCAGGGTAACTGACATGTCCATACTACTGGTCTGAGGTACCCCGCAATGACCAGGGTAACTGACATGTCCACACTACTGGTCTGAGGTACCGTTCAGTGACCAGTGTAATTGACATGTCCACACTACAGGTCTGAGGTACCCTCAGTGACCAACTGACATGTCCACAGTGACCAGGGTAACTGACATGTCCACACTACTGGTTTGAGATACCGCTCAGTATCCAGGGTAATTAACATGTCCACACTACTGGTATTAGCAGTGACCAGGGTAACTGACATGTCCACACTACTGGTCTGAGGTACCCTGCAGTGACAAGGGTAACTAACATGTCCATGCTACTGGTCTGAGGTACCCTCCAGTAACCAGGGTAATTGACATTTTCACACTACTGGTCTGAGGTAAACAGCAGTGACCATGGTAAATGACATGTCCACAATACAGGTCTGAGGTACTGTTCAGTGACCAGGGTAACTGACATGTCCACATTACTGGTCTGAGGTACCGTGCAGTGACCAGGGTAACTGATATGTCCACACTACTAGTCTGAGGTACCGTTTAGTGACAAGGGTAACTGACATGTCCAAGCTACTGGTCTGAGGTACCCTCCAGTGACCAGGGTAACTGATATGTCCACACTACTGGTCTGAGGTACCCTGCAGTGACCAGGGTAACTGACATGTCAATGCTACTGGTTTGAGGTACCCTCCAGTAACCAGGGTAATTGACATGTCCACACTACTGGTCTGAGGTAACCTCCAGTGACCAGGGTAACTGACATGTCCACACTACTGGTCTGAGGTACCGCTCAGTGACCAGGGTAACTGACATGTCCACACTACAGGTCTGAGGTACCGTTCAGTGACCAGGGTAACTGACATGTCCACAGTACTGGTCTTAGGTACCCTGCAGTGATCAGGGTAACTGACATATCCACACTTAAGGTCTGAGGTACCGTTCAGTGACCAGGGTAACTGACATGTCCACACTACTGGTCTTAGGTACCGTTCAGTGACTAGGGTAACCAACATGTCCACACTTAAGGTCTGAGGTAACCTCCTGTGACCAGGGTAACTGACATGTCCAAATTACAGGTCTTAGGTACCCTCCAGTGACCAGGGTAACTGATATGTCAACACTACTTGTTGAAGGTACCGTTCAGTGACCATGATAACTGACATATCCACATTACTGGTCTGAGGTACCGTTCAGTGACCAGGGTATCTGACATGTCCACAGTACTGGTCTCAGGTACCCTGCAGTGACATGGGTAACTTACATGTCCATGCTACTGGTCTGAGGTACCCTGCAGTGACCAGGGTAACTGACATGTCCACACTACAGGTCTGAGGTACCGTTCAGTGACCAGGGTAACTGACATGTCCACACTACAGGTCTGAGGTACCGTTCAGTGACCAGGGTAACTGACATGTCCACACTACAGGTCTGAGGTACCGTTCAGTGACCAGGGTAACTGACATGTCCACACTACAGGTCTGAGGTACCCTTCAGTGACCAGGGTAACTGACATGTCCACACTACAGGTCTGAGGTACCGTTCAGTGACCAGGGTAACTGACATGTCCACACTACAGGTCTGAGGTACCGTTCAGTGACCAGGGTAACTGACATGTCCACACTACAGGTCTGAGGTACCGTTCAGTGACCAGGGTAACTGACATGTCCACACTACAGGTCTGAGGTACCGTTCAGTGACCAGGGTAACTGACATGTCCACACTACTGGTCTGAGGTTCCCTGCAGTGATCAGGGTAACTGACATATCCACACTTAAGGTCTGAGGTACCGTTCAGTGACCAGGGTAACTGACATGTCCACACTACAGGTCTGAGGTACCGTTCAGTGACCAGGGTAACTGACATGTCCACACTACTGGTCTGAGGTACCCTTCAGTGACCAGGGTAAGGTACCAGTGCAGTGATAAGTGTAACTGACATGTCCATGCTACTGGTCTTAGGTACCCTCCAATGACCAGTGTAATTGACATGTCCACACTACTGGTCTGAGGTACCCTCCAGTGACCAGGGTAATTGACATGTCCACACTACAGGTCTGAGGTACCGTTCAGTGACCAGGGTAACTGACATGTCCACACTACTGGTCTGAGGTACCCTCCAGTGACCAGGGTAATTGACATGTCCACACTACAGGTCTGAGGTACCGTTCAGTGACCAGGGTAACTGACATGTCCACACTACTGGTCTGAGGTACCCTCCAGTGACCAGGGTAACTGAAATGTCCACACTACAGGTCTGAGGTACCCTCCAGTGACCAGGGTAACTGACATGTCCACACTTAAGGTCTGAGGTACCGTTCAGTGACCAGGGTAACTGACATGTCCACACTACTTGTCTGAAGTACCGCTCAGTGACCAGGGTAACCAACATGTCCACACTAAAGGTCTCAGGTACCGTGCAGTGACAGGGGTAACTTACATGTCCATGCTACTGCTCTGAGGTACCCTCCAGTGACCAGGGTAACTGACATGTCCACACTACAACAGATGAAATATGGAATGTTACTCTAAAAATCATATTAAAACACACAATTATATTGCACTGTTAATTGTTAAAATGTAAATCACAAATATCTATTAATGGCACACATCTATCTAGAAGTCATGACTGAAATCAGTTTGCGTAGTGTTACTGGCAATATTTGGCAGTGAATTATCAGGTTAAGATGGAGAGTAGATCAGTTTATCTTTTATATAACGGAATCCATTTCATCAAATTGTCAACAAGGCTACATCACTAAAGTTTAAATACCATATTCAATTTTTTACTTATTGAAACAGTTTTTTAATAATAGGAAATCTTTTATTTTTTCCAACAAGTGTCAATTGTAAAACCACAATATACGTTCACGTTTGATAGAACTTTACCTTAACTGAAGCCTCATGTAAACACATAAAATCTGATATCTTTCTACAACTAGTCAACAAAAAAAAGGGTAACACTCACCAAAACCATACCTTGCAGTTAACTCAACAAAAATGTCTTTCATGATTAATATGCAAGTTGGAAATGGGATACTCTGCTAAAAGAACACAATGATCACACTTTGATTAAATAAATTAATTATGATTAATTGCACACACATGTGCAGTTTGTATCATTCAGTCCCAGGATAGATATGCCAAAACATCTTATACTTTTAAAGCATGCTGCACAATTTCTATAGTCTAAATCCAGTTTCGAAAGTATGAGAAATAATCCTGGATCCTAATGATAGGACTGGACATACTAATCCTGGATCCTAATGATAGGACTGGACATACAAGTAGTGACTTAGATATACAAGGTCAGTGATTTTAAATATAAGATTACAAATATACAGCAAACGATGAAAATAACACACTATTGTGTTGGAATGCCTCATAATAAAGAAGAAGAATTCTCTCCCTTTCTCAGGAGATGACAAGGACTCACTCTTGGTTATGATCTTAGTAAACAAGGAGTTCTCTCCCCTTTCCATCCATGGAATGGACTACAAGTTATTGAAGGTGTTTCCCCTCACTAACCACGGAATGGCTCTCATTTAACACTGTATATAGGAATGTTCAAACTAAATAAACAACTTTGTTTCTACATGTAAATAGATTAACAAAACTAAAATAATGATGGCATTTGTAGACTGCATTTTGTAGGCGCCATATACAGATGTGTCATCTTCACTGGGTAAAACCCATTAAGTTCAGAACATACTGTGTGTCACATAAAAAACTTAACATTCAACAACACATAAATTTCACATATCTGAATTGAATACATTATCATTTTGTATATTAGATGGATGTTATGTTTCAAATCACACTAATATCTGTGAGTGTGACCATGGAATTACCTATCTAATGTTCTAATGTCACTCTACAGTCAACACTCACCACTCACATATCACTAAATTATTTTATAAATAAACAAATACACATGTATGTGTTAGGACTAGTGTGTACACATCTTGTAAATAATTAAAATACTGAACATACACTAAGTTGGATGGATGCAAGGGAGATAACTAATCCAGGTGTCTGTCAGCAGGATAACTCCACTTTAACTGTTGTAATTGGTATTCTCATAGATACTAAAAAAAAACATACAAAAAAGTGAAAAATATATCTAAGGGCAGATATCATTTTGTTAAAATTTTATGTAACTTTTAATTAACAAAAGGCTTATTACGTCTGCTTATTATTTTGATTAAAATTATGTTAGAAACTGAGTTATCTTGCTGTTAGAACAGATACTGGACTAAATAATAACATAGATATTCAACAATACAAGGTGAGACAATGGATTAACAAAATAATACCTGGAGCTAACGCCAGTATATCACCAGTACATCACATGTTTAACACAACATTACAGATCTCTTGTTGTTTACAAGATGGACACAGTCAGCTTAATCTCTAAACAAAATTCCATGTCACTTGCTCTCCTGACATCTATCTTAACTCTTACCAAATATCTCACTGTCCAACAGATGCTCAATAACTGGGGTCAACTGACCTCAAGCTTGCTCAATGTCTAAGGTCAAATAAACTGACTTCCCAGCTGACTTGCTCAGTGTCTAAGGTCAAATAAACTGACTTCCCAGCTGACTTGCTCAGTGTCTAAGGTCAACTAAACTGACCTCCCAGCTGACTTGCTCAGTGTCTGAGGTCAAATAAACTGACCTCCCAGCTGACTTGCTCAGTGTCTGAGGTAAACTAAATTGACCTGTCAGCTGACTCATAAATTATCAGAACTGTGGCTAGAGGAATTGGGCATGAAACATTTACACTGCTTTCTCACTTAAATAACCAACCACACTATCTCATCATGTTACACAAAGCTACATTGTGTATGCGAACTATTCATGTAATGTATACTAAACACCGACAAGGAAAAGTATATATTTACACCACATACAATGTATATTTATGAATGTCCTAGTAATCTGTAGTGTCAGTCCTACAGGTGGATTTCTATGTTACATTATCAGACACTACTATCAAATCAACACTGCCAGATAATATGTCAGTATCATAAAGTCTACATTTACATTAGCCAAAAAATGATCATCTGTAGGTCACTATCCTTACTGACCTCTGTCAGTGATACATCTGTCCTTACTGACCTCTGTCAGTGATACATCTGTCCTTACTGACAGAGGTCAGTGATACATCTGTCCTTACTGACAGAGGTCAGTAATACATCTGTCGTTACTGACAGAGGTCAGTGATACATCTGTCCTTACTGACCTCTGTCAGTGATACATCTGCCCTTACTGACAGAGAGGTCAGTGATACATCTATCCTTACTGACCTCTGTCAGTGATACATCTGTCCTTACTGACCTCTGTCAGTGATACATCTGTCCTTACTGACAGAGGTCAGTGATACATCTGTCCTTACTGACAGAGGTCAGTAATACATCTGTCGTTACTGACAGAGGTCAGTGATACATCTGTCCTTACTGACCTCTGTCAGTGATACATCTGCCCTTACTGACAGAGAGGTCAGTGATACATCTATCCTTACTGACCTCTGTCAGTGATACATCTGTCCTTACTGACAGAGAGGTCAGTGATACATCTGTCCTTACTGACAGAGGTCAGTGATACATCTGTCCTTACTGACAGAGGTCAGTGATACATCTGTCCTTACTGACAGAGGTCAGTGATACATCTGTCCTTACTGACCTCTGTCAGTGATACATCTGTCCTTACTGACAGAGGTCAGCAATACATCTGTCCTTACTGACAGAGAGGTCAGTGATACATCTGTCCTTACTGACAGAGGTCATTGATACATCTGTCCTTACTGACAGAGGTCAGTGATACATCTGTCCTTACTGACAGAGGTCAGTAATACATCTGTCGTTACTGACAGAGGTCAGTGATAGATCTGTCCTTACTGACCTCTGTCAGTGATACATCTGCCCTTACTGACAGAGAGGTCAGTGATACATCTATCCTTACTGACCTCTGTCAGTGATACATCTGTCCTTACTGACAGAGAGGTCAGTGATACATCTGTCCTTACTGACAGAGGTCAGTGATACATCTGTCCTTACTGACCTCTGTCAGTGATACATCAGTCCTTACTGACCTCTGTCAGTGATACATCTGTCCTTACTGACCTCTGTCAGTGATACATCTGTCCTTACTGACAGAGGTCAGCAATACATCTGTCCTTACTGACAGAGAGGTCAGTGATACATCTGTCCTTACTGACAGAGGTCATTGATACATCTGTCCTTACTGACAGAGGTCAGTGATACATCTGTCTGACAGAGGTCAGTGATACATCTGTCCTTACTGACAGAGAGGTCAGTGATACATCTGTCCTTACTGACAGAGGTCAGTGATACATCAGTTCTAACTGACAGAGGTCAATGATACATCTGTCCTTACTAACCTCTGTCAGTGATACATCTGTCCTTACCGACCTCTGTCAGTGATACATCTGTCCTTACTGACAGAGGTCAGCAATACATCTGTCCTTACTGACAGAGGTCAGCAATACATATGTCCTTACTGACAGAGGCATTCTGCATATTGATGAGATCCTGGATAAGTCTACATAGCCTTACAGAAGTCTTTATGTGTTAACCTTAGTCTATTATTCATTTTTGTACATACATCATGCCCCTTTCCTCATTCATACAACTAAACTGACAAGAGAATCTGTGACCTTTATCTATCTGGAGGTCGTTCACACTGTGATGGTCGTAACCGTTCACGACAGAACCTTTTATGGGTTGGCCAGTCCTTTTGCTGGCAATAGATTCCACAGTACCTATATAAACAGAAATACAAACTTTATTTTCTAAAGTCTCTTAAATGATAACACATATAACATTATTATCATTATTATTACATTCTTAACGGCAACACATAAAAGGTCATTAGGACCATCATACAGTAAAACACAGCGATCCAAAAGGAAATAACATTAACAAACCAAAAGGTAAAAGACAAATGTTTAAAATATTAAATGGGTATCTTAACACAAAAGACTAAAATGGTACTTCATAGTCTATTATATAGACCGACATCTTTCAGGTAAATGTAGAATAAAGCCTCACACATATGTACTGTTTGTACTCCTGACCCAACACATATAGCCTCACACATATGTACTGTTTGTACTCCTGACCTAACACATATAGCCTCACACACATGTACTGTTTGTACTCCTGACCGAACACATCAAGCCTCACACAGATGTACTGTTTGTACTCCTGACCTAACACATATAGCCTCACACATATGTACTGTTTGTACTCCTGACCTAACACATCAAGCATCACACATATGTACTGTTTGAACTCCTGACCTAACACATATAGCCTCACACATATGTACTGTTTGTACTCCTGACCTAACACATATAGTCTCACACATATGTACTCATTGTAGTCCTGACCTAACACATATAGCCTCACACATATGTACTGTTTGTAGTCCTGACCTAACACATCAAGCCTCACACATATGTACTGTTTGTACTCCTGACCTAACACATATAGCCTCACACATATGTACTGTTTGAACTCCTGACCTAACACATATAGCCTCACATGTATTGTTTGTACTCCTGACCTAACACATATAGCCTCACACATATGTACTAACTGTACTTCTGACCTAACACATATAGCCTCACACATATGTACTGATTGTAGTCCTGACCTAACACATCAAGCCTCACACATATGTACTGTTTGTACTCCTGACCTAACACATCAAGTCTCACACATATGTACTGTTTGTACTCCTGACCTAACACATCAAGCCTCACACATATGTACTGAATGTAGTCCTGACCTAACACATATAGCCTCACACATATGTACTGTTTGTACTCCTGACCTAACACATATAGCCTCACACATATGTACCGATTGTAGTCCTGACCTAACACATATACACACCTGACCTCTTGGCACCGTCCACAGATGCTGAACTCACGAATCTGTTTCTCCATATTAGTACATGGAGGATAGTGGCACTCATAATACATGGAGTTTTCATCTGAAAAAAAAATACACAAAACTCAGTGATCTATTGTAGTCAGAGCATCAATTGTAAAATATGACAGTAGAGCAAACAATTTAAGACTGACACCAGAATATTGTGATATATTGTAGACATAAGTGTTATTGTTATATTTTTATGACCAAACTTCTACTCTCTACCTTTTAATTTGTACTCAGTAACACTGGTCTGATGCATTGAATTCATCATTTTTATAAGCTTATCAAATCATGTGAAACTCCTAAAGTTTTGTCACTGAGTCTATAGCAATTAAACAATAAATGTCCATCCAGCTGATCATATGACTGAATCGTTTCAGATCCATTGTCAAATATCTTGTGACTGTTGCGTAAAATGTCAAATGAGGAAAATGTTTAAATGAAGGGGTTTTAATCTGTCCTCGACTCTCTTTATGTGCCCATGACCTCCTCTTTGTTTTTGTCCTAACCTCCCTTGTGTAGTCCTACATAATTTATTTGATCTTGATGTGAATCTGACCTTCTCTAAGTAACTATGACCTTCTTTATGTGACCTGACCTGTTCATGTGACACTGACCTACTTTCTGTTACTGACATTCTCTAAGTAACTATGACCTTCTTTATGTGACCTGACCTGTTCATGTGACCTGACCTGTTCATGTGACACATACCTACTTTCTGTGACTGACCTTCTCTAAGTAACTATGACCTTCTTTATGTGACCTGACCTGTTCATGTGACACTGACCTACTTTCTGTGACTGACATTCTCTAAGTAACTATGACCTTCTATATGTGACCTGACCTGTTCATGTGACACTGACCTACTTTCTGTAACTCTGGCCTACTTTATGTGACTGTATAGCATACATACCCTCACTAACACTGTCACCATTGCTGTTGTAAACTTTGTGGTAGAATGGTTCTGCTGGCTGAAATAAGAATATCAGATCAGAAACCTGGTGACAATATTCTGATCTCTCTCAATATGAATTCCAGTAAAACACATTTTACTCTATCATATATTTCATTATATATATTTTCATTATCACTTTACTGTACTTTGTTAAAACTCACACACTAAGCACACTCGGTTACAGACTCCGATAAACAGAGTTGATACTCGCTCATTCAGGCTTAATCAGTTGATATTCACAGACTTGGTACATCCGGGTGACTACTTTGATAATCACACATTCATGTGAATATTCACACAATAAGGCATTCTTGAATGATACTCACACATTCCAGGGGTTCCTCCTGAAGCTGCTGCACTGCAAGCCAGTATAGACTCTGTTCTCTATTTGACTTTGTTGATGGTTGCTCTTCAAAATATGGTGTACTATTTTCTGGTACTAGGGCCAAATTCTCCATTCTATTGTCTACAGTAACACCATTTTTATGTAGGACCTTCCATCCTGGAGCAATTCCTCCACAATGTCTTTCCCTGTAAACAGTACCATACACTAGGAAAAAAATAGCAAAACAGATAAATAATTACCAGATATCTTAGACAGACATCTATAGTTGTGGAATCATCTAGCTTGTTGTATAATTATATCATATAACATGAGAAGTTGTGAGAGGACAATTGCTTCTGAAAATTGTATGAGACACTTACCACAGGAGTTGTGAAACACTTACCACAGGAGTTGTGTGGAACACTTACCACAGGAGTTGTGTGAGACACTAACCCCAAGAGTTGTAGATGTGTGGGACACTTACCATAGGAGTTGTGTGAAACACTTACCACAGGAGTTGTAGTTGAGTGGGACACTTACCACAAGAGTTGTGCGAAACACTTACCACAGGAGTTGTGTGGGACACTTACCACAGGAGTTGTGTGAAACACTTACCACAGGAGTTGTAGTTGTGTGGGACACAAAAATGTGAAGTTGTGTGAGACACTTACCACAGTAGTGTGAGACACTTACCACAGGAGTAGTGTGAGACACTTACCACAGAAGTTGTGTGAAACACTTACCACAGGAGTTGTGTGAAACACTTACCACAGGTGTTGTGTGGGACACTTACCACAAAAGTTGTGTGAAACACTTACCACAGAAGTTGTGTGGGACACAAAAATGTGAAGTTGTGTGAGACACTTACCACAGGCGTTGTGTGGGACAATAACCACAGGAGTTGTGTGAGACACTTACCACAGAAGTTGTGGGGGACACAAAAATGTGGAGTTGTGTGAGACACTTACCACAGGAGTTGTGTGAAACACTTACCACAGGAGTTGTGTGGGACACTTACCACAGGAGTTGTGTGGGACACTTACCACAGGAGTTGTGTGAAACACTTACCACAGGAGTTGTAGTTGTGTGGGACACAAAAATGTGAAGATGTGTGAGACACTTACCACAGTAGTGTGAGACACTTACCACAGAAGTTGTGTGGGACACTTACCACAGGAGTTGTGTGGGACACAAAAATGTGAAGTTGTGTGAGACACTTACCACAGGAGTAGTGTGAGACACTTACCACAGAAGTAGTGTGAGACACTTACCACAGAAGTTGTGTGGGACACAAAAATGTGAAGTGGTGTGGGACACTTACCACAGGAGTTGTGTGAAACACTTACCACAGGAGTAATGTGAGACACTTACCACAGAAGTTGTGTGGGACACAAAAATGTGAAGTTGTGTGAGACACTTACCACAGGAGTTGTGTGGGACACTTACATAAGGAGTTGTGTGGGACACTTACCACAGAAGTTGTGTAAGAAACTAACCTCAGGAGTTGTAGTTGTGTGGGACACTTACCATAGGAGTAGTGTGAGACACTAACCTCAGGAGTTGTAATTGTGTGGGACACTTACCATAGGAGTTGTGTGAAACACTTACCACAAGAGTTGTAGTTGAGTGGGACACTTACCACAGGAGTTGTAGTTGTGTGGGACACTTAACTAAGGAGTTGTGTGAAACACTTACCACAGGAGTTGTAGTTGAGTTGGACACTTACCACAGGAGTTGTGTGGGACACTTACCACAGGAGTTGTGTGAAACACTTACCACAGGAGTTGTAGTTGTGTGGGACACAAAAATGTGAAGATGTGTGAGACACTTACCACAGGAGTAGTGTGAGACACTTACCACAGAAGTTGTGTGAAATACTTACCACAGGAGTTGTGTGGGACACTTACCACAGAAGTTGTGTTAGACACTTACCACAGGAGTTGTGTGGGACACAAAAATGTGAAGTTGTGTGAGACACTTACCACAGGAGTTGTGCGAGACACTTTCCACAGAAGTTGTGCGAGACATTTATCACAGTAGTGTGGGACACTTACCTATGGAGTTGTAGTTGTGTGGGACACTTACCATAGGAGTAGTGTGAGACACTTACCACAGAAGTTGTGTGGGACACTTACCACAGGAGTTGTGTGGGACACTTACCACAGGAGTTGTGTGAAACACTTACCACAGGAAATTGTGTAGAGGTTGGGCTGTACATTTACTTCGATGGATGTTATGCGTGTAGGCATATATCATCGCTCCATTGCCATCAGGATCTACCTCCATGCGCGCCTAAACATAAAGTTTTCAACATAACAACACTAGACAAAATAATTAATGTACAATTTTCTTACAAATTGTCTCATATACAATAACTTTGTTTTATATTGTTTAACATCCCATCAACATCGTGGTTTTACATTGTTTAACATACTATCAACATCGTGGTTTTACATTGTTGAACATCCCATCAACATCGTGGTTTTATATTGTTTAACATCCCATCAACATCGTGGTTTTATATTGTTTAACATGCTATCAACATTGTTGTTTTATATTGTTTAACATGCTATCAACATCGTGGTTTTACATTGTTTAACAACATCGTGGTTTCATATTGTTTCACATCCTATCAACATCGTGGTTTTACATTGTTTAACAACATCGTTGTTTTATATTGTTTAACATGCTATCAACATCGTGGTTTTACATTGTTTAAGATGCTATCAACATCGTGGGTTTATACTGTTTAACATCCCATCAACATCATGGGTTTATATTGTTTAACACGCTATCAACATCGTGGTTTTATATTGTTTAACATCCCATCAACATCGTGGTTTTACATTGTTTAACATGCTATCAACATCATGGTTTTTTATTGTTTAACATCCTATCAACATTGTGGTTTTATATTGTTTAACATCCCATCAACATCGTGGTTTTATATTGTCTAACATGCTATCAACATTGCTGTTTTATATTGTTTAACATGCTATCAACATTGTTGTTTTATATTGTTTAACAACATCGTGGTTTTACATTGTTTAACACCATCGTGGTTTTATATTGTTTAACATCCCATCAACATCGTGGTTTTATATTGTTTAACATCCCATCAAAATCGTGGTTTTATATTGTTTAACATCCCATCAACATCGTGGTTTTACATTGTTTAACATGCTATCAACATCATGGTTTTATATTGTTTAACATCCCATCAACATCGTGGTTTTATATTGTTTAACATCCCATCAACATCGTGGTTTTATATTGTTTAACATCCCATCAAAATCGTGGTTTTATATTGTTTAACATCCCATCAACATCGTGGTTTTACATTGTTTAACATGCTATCAACATCATGGTTTTATATTGTTTAACATCCCATCAACATCGTGGTTTTATATTGTTTAACATCCCATCAAAATCGTGGTTTTATATTGTTTAACATCCCATCAACATCGTGGTTTTATATTGTTTAACATGCTATCAACATCATGGTTTTATATTGTTTAACATCCCATCAACATCGTGGGTTTATATTGTTTCACATCCTATCAACATCATGGTTTTATACTGTTTAACATCCCATCAATATCGTGGTTTTATATTGTTTATTGTTATACTGTCAGACCGAACGCGTCTTGGTACAATGAACAACTTCGTGATGCAAAACAATTGTGGAGGAAGGCGGAGAAACGTTGGCGAAAGACTAAACTAACCATCCATCGCCAGATATACAGAGAACATTGTCGGGCAGTCAGTTCACTACTCATTCAACGCAAGAAGGATTATTATTCAGGAAAAATCACAGAATGTGGATCGGATACAAGACAGCTTTTTAGACTCACCAGAAACCTTATGGGACATACTGGTGAAATCGCCCTACCAAGCTGTTCTTCTGAAAAATCTTGTCCAACAAGTTCAGTGATTTTTTCCAGGATAAAATCAATACAATCAGGCAAAAGATTGATGTTGTGAACTCAACTTCCGACACTGGCATCTCTGCCATGGATGCCGATATCAAATTCTCTGGTGAACCTTTGACGCAGTTCACTCCAACAACTGAAGAAGAATTGCGCAAGATCATTACAAACTCTCAATCGAAATCCTGTGAGCTGGACCCGCTTCCCACAGTTTTACTGAAGCAATGTCTTGGTGCACTGCTCCCCTTGATCACCTTAATCATGAATAAATCATTAGCAGAGTCTAGGGTTCCATCATGTTTCAAGAAGGCTAATGTAAGACCACTGCTGAAGAAGCCTGGACTGAACAAAGAAGAATTAAAGAACTACCGTCCGCTGTCAAATCTTCCTTTCTTATCTAAGATCTTGGAGAAGATTGTGTCCCAGCGACTTGAGGCTCATCTCAATGCTAACAGTCTTCATGACAACTTGCAATCAGCCAGTCGCACAGGACATTCCACTGAGACGGCCCTACTCCGTGTCTACAGTGATATTGCTGCCGCTCTGGATAACAAGTGTAGAGCGGTTCTTATCATGCTTGATCTGTCTGCTGCATTTGATGTCATTGACCATGGCACACTGTTCAAGCGTCTGGAGTACTCTTATGGGGTGACTGGTGATGCATTACGCTGGACCCAGTCTTACTTGAATGAACGACGACAGTGAGTTGCCATTGGATCAACTGTTTCAGACAGCAAAACCTTAGACTTCGGAGTTCCTCAGGGGTTCGTTCTGGGACCTATTGTCTTTATTCGAAACCAATCGGGGAGATTTGTCGTCGTCATAACCTTCAGTACCATTGTTATGCCGACGACACACAAATCTACATGGTTATCAGACCTGAAGACAACTGGGACATAATAGTAGCAAGTCTTGAAGCCTGTCTAAATGACATCAGTGCTTGGATGAACTCAAATATGCTCAAGCTCAATCAGGAAAAGACAGAACTGATCGTCTTTTCCCACAAGTGTCAACACACTAAAGGTCTCCACTTAAAGGTCGGTGCCCAAACTATTGAGGCCGTCCAAGCTGTGAGAAACCTTGGTGTACACTTTGATAGCTCTCTGAACATGGAGAAACAGATAAACTCAATTGCCAGTTCCTGTTATCACCAAATCAGAAACATTGGGGGTATCCGTCAGTTCATCACCACAGATGCATGCAAGACATTGGTACATTCTCTTGTTACTTCTAGGTTAGACTATGGTAACGCGTTACTCGTTGGTGTATTTGATACACTAATGAGCCGCCTGCAGAGGGTACAGAACACTGCAGCACGCCTAGTTACCCGTACTCGAAAGAGGGACCACATTACACCAGTCCTTTACTTATTGCATTGGCTGCCCGTGCGATTCTGGTCACAGTACAAGATTTTGATGTATACATACAAGAGGCCCATGGGCCTTAACGGTCATCTGACAAAAAGCAAGCCAAACCTAGAAAGTGGGTTGAGGTCATTCATTTGAACAAACTTGGTAGCCTCTCCTCCAAGCATCTTACAGGCCCAATATCAGCACTCATGGACTTTTGCTTGTTGAGAAAAAGTCGTTTGTATATTTTAACATATTTGACCCCTGTGACCTTGAAAGTGGGTTGAGGTCATTCATTTGAATAAACTTGGTAGCCTTTCCTCCCAGCATGCTACAGACCCAATATCGGTTGAAAGTTGTTCAAGGTCATTCATTTAAACAAACTTGATAGCCCTTCATCCCAGCATGCCACAGGCACAATATCAGCAATCTGAGCCTTTTGGTTATTGAGAAGAAGTTGTTTAAAGATTTTAACATATTTGACCCCTGTGACCTTTAAAGTGGGTCAAGGTCATTCATTTGAACAAACTTGGTAGTCCTTCATTCCAGCATGTCACAGGCCCAATATCTACACTCTGAGCCTTTTGGTTAATGAGAAGAAGTTGTTTAAAGATTTTAACATATTTGACCCCTGTGACCTTGAATGTGGGTTGAGGTTATTCATTTGAATAAACTTGGTAGCCTTTCCTCCCAGCATGCTACAGACCCAATATCGGCACTCATAGACTTTTGCTTATTGAGATGAAGTCCTTTGTATATTTTAACATATTTGACCCTTGTGACCTTGAAAGTGGGCCAAGGTCATTCATTTGAACAAACTTTGTAGGGCTCCATGCCAGCATGCTATGGGCCAAGTATTAGCCCCCTAGGCCTTCTAGTATTTGAGAAGAAGTTATTTAAAGATTTTGACATATTTGACCCCTGTGACCTTGAAAGTTGTTCAAGGTCATTCATTTAAACAAACTTGATAGCCCTTTATCCCAGCATGCCACAGGCACAATATCAGCAATCTGAGCCTTTTGGTTATTGAGAAGAAGTTGTTTAAAGATTTTAACATTGAACAAACTTTAGTCCTTCACCCCTGTGACCTTTAAAGTGGTTCAAGGTCATTCATTTGAACAAACTTGGTAGTCCTTCATCCCAGCATGCTACAGACCCAATATCGGCACTCATAGACTTTTGCTTATTGAGATGAAGTCCTTTGTATATTTTAACATATTTGACCCCTGTGACCTTGAAAGTGGGCCAAGGTCATTCATTTGAACAAACTTTGTAGGGCTCCATGCCAGCATGCTATGGGCCAAGTATTAGCCCCCTAGGCCTTCTAGTATTTGAGAAGAAGTTATTTAAAGATTTTGACATATTTGACCCCTGCGACCTTGAAAGTTGTTCAAGTTCATTCATTTAAATAAACTTGGTAGCCTTTCCTCCCAGCATGCTACAGACCCAATATCGGCACTCATAGACTTTTGCTTATTGAGATGAAGTCCTTTGTATATTTTAACATATTTGACCCCTGTGACCTTGAAAGTGGGCCAAGGTCATTCATTTGAACAAACTTTGTAGGGCTCCATGCCAGCATGCTATGGGCCAAGTATTAGCCCCCTAGGCCTTCTAGTATTTGAGAAGAAGTTATTTAAAGATTTTGACATATTTGACCCCTGTGACCTTGAAAGTTGTTCAAGGTCATTCATTTAAACAAACTTGATAGCCCTTCATCCCAGCATGCCACAGGCACAATATCAGCAATCTGAGCCTTTTGGTTATTGAGAAGAAGTTGTTTAAAGATTTTAACATATTTGACCCCTGTGACCTTTAAAGTGGTTCAAGGTCATTCATTTGAACAAACTTGGTAGTCCTTCATCCCAGCATGTCACAGGCCCAATATCTACACTCTGAGCCTTTTGGTTAATGAGAAGAAGCTGTTTAAAGATTTTAACATATTTGACCCCTGTGACCTTTAAAGTGGGTCAAGGTCATTCATTTGAACAAACTTGGTAGAGCTCCATGCCAGTATCCTCTGTGCCAAGTATTAGCCCCCTAGACCTTCTAGTATTTGAGAAGAAGTCGTTTGAATGAAAAGTTTACGGACGGCGCACGGCGGACGACGACGGACGAAGCATGATGACTATAGGTCATCGGACCCTTCGGGTCCAGATGACCTAACAAGGCAATAAATGGAACAGCTCCTGAATACTTGCAGGAACTTGTCACCATTTATCAGCCGTCACGATCACTACGATCGGAGACAGAATCCTTGTTGTGCGTTCCGAACTCTCGGACTGTGACTTATGGTAACTGGTGCTTTGGAAAGGTAGCGGCCACTTTGTGGAACAGCTTACCATCTGCTACTAGAAAGTCAAAATCCCTGGCCAAATTCAAGAGGGATATTAAAACCCACCAGTTTACGTCTGCATTTTAGACTCTCACGCAGACGTCCTGTATATACATACTTTCACCACTACTTACTTGATTTGGTTACTGTGTTACATATGTTGATTACTGTGTTATACATGTTCTGTAAATTTTGTAGTAAGATTGTTATGTAATTGTGAAGCGCATTAGAGTATTTTGTCAAAATAGATAGTGCGCTATATAAATGTTGTATATTTTTATTATTATTATTATTTAACATTCCATTAACATCGTGGTTTTATTTTGTTTAACATCCCATTAACATCGTGGTTTTATATTGTTTAACATGCTATCAACATCATGGTTTTATATTGTTTAACATCCTATCAACATCATGGTTTTTTATTATTTAAAGTGTACCCTGAGTGTAGTTTATATTTAGATATAATGTTAAGAATGCCGTAAAAACAATAATGAAAACCCCGTCAAAATCTGTCACCCCAATGTCGAGTTATTAACGCTCAAAGTTGTCGATTTTCACCTGTCTGCTCAGACCTAATCAGCATAATCGTCATTTCCGCGGAATCGAGGCGCTTCTACTCGTGATGTCATAAGTTCAACAGAAATGGCAGCCAACATGACGGACAGTGACAACAACATCGCACCTGATAGCGATTTGAACATGAGCTTTGAGGAGTCTGATTATGGTGTGGATGATATTTCTGAAGACGGAATCCAGCCCTACCTATTTGAACTTTTAGTCAAACTCTTTTCGGCAGAGTCCGATCCATTGATTTCATTACACTATACCGAATTGGAAATGAATTTCTGTCAAAGTGTTTTGAACATAAATATGAATATTTCATTTTACCTTTCCACATGTCTGTCTTCTTCCTGACAAACTGAATCCATTGTTTGCATAAATCTGGCCTATTTAATGGGAAGGCATGCATCGACACCCCATCCGTGTTAGTGTTAGGACGGTGTCGGGAATTTTCGTACCAAAGATTTTTTGTCCAAGGGGAATTTTCGTAGCACTATGGATATATATAGATAGGGTGTCAACAACCAATTATAACACCCTCCTCCGCTGTGTTGATAATAAAAATTTGATGTTTTAGAAGTTTATAAAATGATTTGACTGGTTATTTACCCAAGTACTGGTATGCGTCTGTTGTTAGCCGACAGGCGTGTCGTCTCATCATTGTTTTTTCAAGCCACAGAGACGCTAATTACCTAGCCTGGCACAAGTGTGATTATGAGTTTAGATGACATCTCTACACATAACCTATTCTATAGTACTACTATAAAATAGTAGTACGAAAATTCTCATGACGAAAATACACGAAACGGATTTTCTTCGGTACAAAAATTCTTGGGACCGTTAGGACAACCGTACACTGCACACTGCTTCCCTCTTCGATAGGAAGCCATTTTAGCGGATTTAAGCGCTAATTCACCCACCCCTCCTTCACTACCTTAAATATTGTGAAGATGTGAAGTGCTTTCACGTAAATAAACAAAGAAATTACCCCGGAAAATCCCTAAAATAGATCACAATCACAGGTAGCACAGTAATGCTGCATCAGCAAAAGCGATGAACTTATGACGTCACAGGTTTGGATGCTTGAAAACGAGGTCAACGCAACTCAGCCAAAGGTGTGTTTTTCAGAAAAGTCGCAATTTCTCAGTAACGGAACATTCCACATTCCATTTTATCTTTATCTCTTTAGAGATGTTGATTCTGAAGAACCACAGGCCAATTTGTTAGTATTGTTGATAGGAACTAAGAGGTACTTATCATGATCAATCACTTTATATTGTTTAATATTCTACCAACAGCTATAGCATGCAAGTCCCGAGTCTTGTACTCATAGAATTTTCTTGGGACTCCAAATTTCTGGAAATTATACTACAATTTTACATTGTTGAACCCATTCTTTTCAGCAATTAAATTGAATTGGACTAAAAAATACTGTAGATTTATCGATGTTATGGTGAATGTGTAAGTGAAGTAATTATAATGTTATGTTGGAAGCTGTATGTCCATGTAAGCTCCTTGCGACAGAGCAGAACTGAAGCCGATCATATATCAGAATATCCTATTAATAAATCATCTTGATTTTGACAGGTAAATCAAGAAAATACTACGATTAACCTACATTTACATATCCAAACTTAAGTCATCCTTATCACAATTCAGTTAATAAGCCAGGTAATTTTGGGGGTATATTTTCACTCATTTGTGAGACATATACCTGAACAAAATGTTTTTAGAAACAAGTAAGGACTGAGAATTCCTAAAAGAGGATGATTTTTTCAATAATGATTGCCTTCTGAAAAGGACAAAGAAAACCTTAACAGAATGACTTGCGGGTGAACTGAAACACTATAATCAGGTCTCCAGTAAATATGTATATGTTAAACACACGGTTCAATAGTGTTATGTTGTGATAAACAATATTGTACTACACAATAATGACTGTAGGTTTTCATCAAAACAACATTCTTACCTCAAATGCATGGTTTTCGACCAGGGAAATGTCTCGCTCATCTAACAAAGCATATTTTACCTGGAAATATAGAATAATTTTTAACTTAATTGAATCTAACAAAGCATATTTTACTAAAATACAGATACAGAAGATAAATATTCAATAGATATTTAAAATAACAGAAGGTGTCAATGCAGAATAATATCAAACTTTATATTCATTGAACCTAAAAAAGCATAACCAGTATCACTGATTCCTTACAAAAATAATTCCAATGATTAATTTTTAATTTCCAAATGAACATAACATCTACAATAGAAACATGAACTGAGATAATGAACATCCACTGTTCCAAATAACAGTGGGGAGTGAACATTACACGTCTATACAGGTTTGTAATTCAGTCACCTTCACTGTTTACTTTCTCCTCACAATAAATGTGTTTACATGTTCACTGCTCCATGACCAAGGAGGCAGGCATTGTGTACAATAGAAAACTTGATGGTCCAATCAGCCTGACCATAACTCAGAATGAAACTGGTATACCAGTCGAAAGCATAACCCACAGCAAGGCTGGATATACTATTATCAAAACCGAAATCAATAGAGAATTCATTCATTCCTTTTGTATAATAAAAAAACACCAATGAATGCCACAAAGTTAGCATTGTGTTGTTCTTTAAAATTTAAAACCAGTCACAACCTGCCTTTTCAAAATGTGAACATTATTTGAATTTTCATCTGACCAATTATATGATATTTTGGTATGTTCACTCATCTAGTCATATCAACAATTATATGTAGGGTCAGTTGATGGTTACAGAAGAGAAAACTTCACATGATTTTACTACAGACAGAAAAAGTAAACAAACAAAAAATTGAGTATGGCCATAGGCTGGGGATATCTGAACCATGAGATTTTAGAGCCGATATTATTTTTAGCTCTGATATCTGAACCATGAGATTTTAGAGCCGATATTTTTTTTAGTTCCGATATCTGAACCATGAGACTTTAGAGCTGATATTATTTTTAACCCTGATATCTGAACCATGAGACTTTAGAGCCGATATTATTTTTAGTTCTGATATCTGAAGCATGAGACTTTAGAGTCGATATTATTTTTAGTTCTGATATCTGAAGCATGAGACTTTAGAGTCGATATTATTTTTAGCTCTGATATCTGAAGCATGAGACTTTAGAGGCGATATTATTTTTAGTTCTGTGTAATACATTCATTCCTGAAGATACTAAATTTTACGACAGAAATAATCTGTAATTTTACATTTTAAAACATGAAACATCAACACTGCTACATGAATAATGTATATGTAATAAGGAATCTTCTCATATGTCTTCATTAACATGCTGCTGCTGCTGAGACTAAACCATGAAAATAGGCTGTTGTCCCTTCCAGTATTGTAAGCTTACAGGTGTAATCTGTCAACCCAGTTCCCTGTCCTACAGTCAAGCCAAACAAGTTCCCTGTCCTAAAGTCAAGCCAAACAAATTCCCTGTCCTATACAGTCAAGCCAAACAAGTTCCCTGTCCTAGAGTCAAGCCAAACAAGTTCCCTGTCCTACAGTCAAGCCAACCAAGTTCCCTGTCCTACAGTCAAGCCTACCAAGTTCCCTGTCCTACAGTCAAGCCAAACAAGTTCCCTGTCCTACAGTCAAGCCAACCAAGTTCTCTGTCCCACAGTCAAGCCAACCAAGTTCCCTGTCCCACAGTCAAGCCAAACAAAATCTCTGTCCTAAAGTCAAGTCAAACAAGTTCCCTGTCCTAAAGTCAAGCCAACCCAGTTTCCTGTCCTAGAGTCAAGCCAACCAAGTTCCCTGTCCTACAGTCAAGCCAACCAAGTTCCCTGTCCTACAGTCAAGCCAAACAAGTTCCCTGTCCTAGAATCAAGCCAACCAAGTTCTCTGTCCTACAGTCAAGCCAACCAAATTCCCTGTCCTCAAGTCAAGCCAAACAAGTTAACTGTCCTAGAATCAAGCCAACCAAGTTCTCTGTCCCACAGTCAAGCCAACCAAATTCCCTGTCCTCAAGTCAAGCCAAACAAGTTATCTGTCCTAAAGTCAAGCCAAACAAGTTATCTGTCCTAAAGTCAAGCCAAACAAATTCCCTGTTGTCCCTTCCAGTATTGTAAGCTTACAGGTGTAACCTGTCCACCCAGTTCCCTTTCCTATACAGTCAAGCCAAACAAATTCCCTGTCCTACAGTCAAGCCAAACAAGTTCCCTATCCTGACAGAAGTCAAGCCAAACAAATTCCCTGTCCTATACAGTCAAGCCAAACAAATTCCCAGTCCTACAGTCAAGCCAACCAAGTTCCCTGTCCTACAGTCAAGCCAACCAAGTTATCTGTCCCACAGTCAAGCCAAACAAGTTCCCTGTCCTAGAATCAAGCCAACCAAGTTCTCTGTCCTACAGTCAAGCCAACCAAATTCCCTGTCCTAGAGTCAAGCCAAACAAGTTATCTGTCCTACAGTCAAGCCAAACAAGTTCCCTGTCCTACAGTCAAGTTCCCTGTCCTACAGTCAAGCCAACCAAGTTCCCTGTCCTACAGTCAAGCCAAACAAGTTCCCTGTCCTAAAGTCAAGCCAAACAAATTTCCTGTTGTCCCTTCCAGTATTGTAAGCTTACAGGTGTAATCTGTCAACCCATGTTCCTGTCCTATACAGTAAAGCCAAAAAAATTCCCTGTCCTACAGTCAAGCCAAACAAGTTCCCTGTCCTGACAGAAGTCAAGCCAAACAAAATTCCCTGTCCTATACAGTCACGCCAAACAAATTCCCAGTCCTACAGTCAAGTCAAACAAGTTCCCTGTCCTAGTCAAGCCAACCCAGTTCCCTGTCCTACAGTCAAGCCAACCTGGTACCCTGTCCTCAAGTCAAGCCAACCAAGTTCCCTGTCCTAAAGTCAAGCCAAACAAGTTCCCTGTCCTACAGTCAAGCCAACCAAGTTCCCTGTCCTACAGTCAAGCCAACCAAGTTCCTGTCCTACAGTCAAGCCAAACAAGTTCCCTGTCCTACAGTCAAGCCAATCAAGTTCCCTGTCCCACAGTCAAGCCAAACAAGTTCCCTGTCCTAGAATCAAGCCAACCAGGTTCTCTGTCCTACAGTCAAGCCAACCAAATTCCCTGTCCTAGAGTCAAGCCAAACAAGTTATCTGTCCTACAGTCAAGCCAAACAAGTTCCCTGTCCTACAGTCAAGCCAACCAAGTTCCCTGTCCTACAGTCAAGCCAAACAAGTTCCCTGTCCTAAAGTCAAGCCAAACAAATTCCCTGTTGTCCCTTCCAGTATTGTAAGCTTACAGGTGTAATCTGTCAACCCAGTTCCCTGTCCTATACAGTAAAGCCAAAAAATTTCCCTGTCCTACAGTCAAGCCAAACAAGTTCCCTGTCCTGACAGAAGTCAAGCCAAACAAAATTCCCTGTCCTATACAGTCACGCCAAACAAATTCCCAGTCCTACAGTCAAGTCAAACAAGTTCCCTGTCCTAGTCAAGCCAACCCAGTTCCCTGTCCTACAGTCAAGCCAACCTGGTACCCTGTCCTCAAGTCAAGCCAACCAAGTTCCCTGTCCTAAAGTCAAGCCAAACAAGTTCCCTGTCCTACAGTCAAGCCAACCAAGTTCCCTGTCCTACAGTCAAGCCAACCAAGTTCCCTGTCCTACAGTCAAGCCAAACAAGTTCCCTGTCCTACAGTCAAGCCAAACAAGTTCCCTGTCCTACAGTCAAGCCAACCAAGTTCCCTGTCCTACAGTCAAGCCAACCAAGTTCCCTGTCCCACAGTCAAGCCAAACAAGTTCCCTGTCCTAGAATCAAGCCAACCAAGTTCTCTGTCCTACAGTCAAGCCAACCAAATTCTCTGTCCTAGAGTCAAGCCAAACAAGTTATCTGTCCTACAGTCAAGCCAAACAAGTTCCCTGTCGTACAGTCAAGCCAACCTGGTTCCCTGTCCTCAAGTCAAGCCAAACAAGTTATCTGTCCTAAAGTCAAGCCAAACAAGTTATCTGTCCTAAAGTCAAGCCAAACAAATTCCCTGTTGTCCCTTCCAGTATTGTAAGCTTACAGGTGTAATCTGTCAACCCAGTTCCCTGTCCTATACAGTCAAGCCAAACAAATTCCCTGTCCTACAGTCAAGCCAAACAAGTTCCCTGTCCTGACAGAAGTCAAGTTTCCAGTTTCCTAGTGTGGTTCCTAGTTTCCTAGTGTGGTTCCCAGTTTTCTAGTTTTGTAATCAGTATCCTAGTGTGGTTCTCAGTTTCCTAGTGTGGTTCTCAGTTTCCTAGTGTGGTTCCTAGTTTTCTAGTGTGGTTCCCAGTTTTTTTAGTTTTGTACCCAGTTTCCTAGTGTGGTTCCCAGTTTCCTAGTGTGGTTTCCAGTTTCCTAGTGGGGTTCTCAGTTTCCTAGTTTGGTTCTCAGTTTCCTAGTGTGGTTCTCAGTTTCCTAGTGTGGTTCTCACTTTCCTAGTGTGGTTTCCAGTTTCCTAGTGTGGTTCCCAGTTTTTTAGTTTTGTACCCAGTTTCCTAGTGCGGTTTACAGTTTCCTAGTGTGGTTCCCAGTTTCCTAGTGCGGTTTACAGTTTCCTAGTGTGGTTTCCAGTTTCCTAGTGCGGTTCCAAGCTTCCTAGTGTGGTTCCCAGTTTCCTAGTGTGGTTCCCAGTTCCCAGTTTCCTAGTGTGGTTCCTAGTTTCCTAGTGTGGTTTCCAGTTTCCTAGTGCGGTTCCCAGTTTCCTAGTGTGGTTCCCAGTTTTCTAGTGTGGTTCTCAGTTTCCTAGTGTGGTTTTCAGTTTCCTAGTGTGGTTCCCAGTTTCCAAGGGTGGTTCCTAGTTTCCTAGTGTGGTTTCCAGTTTCCTAGTGTGGTTCCCAGTTCCCTAGTGTGGTTCCCAGTTTCCTAGTGTGGTTTCCAGTATCCTAGAGTGGTTTCCAGTTTTCGAGTGTGATTTCCAGTATCCTAGTGTGATTTCCAGTTTCCTAATGTGGTTCCAAGTTTCCTAGTGTGGTTTCCAGTTTCCTAGTGTTGTTCCCAGTTTCCTAGTGTGGTTCCCAGTTTTCTAGTTTTGTACCCAGTTTCCTAGTGTGGTTCCCAGTTTCCTAGTGTGGTTCCTAGTTTCCTAGTGTGGTTTTTAGCTTCCTAGTGTGGTTTCCAGTTTCTAGTGTGGTTCCCAGTTTCCTAGTGTGGTTCCTAGTTTCCTAGTGTGATTTCCAGTTTCCTAGTGAGGTTTCCAGTATCCTAGTGTGGTTCCCAGTTTTCTAGTTTTGTACCCAGTTTCCTAGTGTGGTTCCCAGTTTCCTAGTGAGGTTTCCGGTATCCTAGTGTGGTTCCCAGTTTTCTAGTGTGATTTCCAGTTTCTTAGTGTGGTTCCTAGTTTCCTAGTGTGGTTCCCAGATTTCTAGTTTTGTACCCAGTTTCCTAGTGTGGTTCCCAGTTTCCTAGTGTGGTTTCCAGTTTCCTAGTGTGGTTTCCAGTTTTCTAGTTCTGTACCCAGTTTCCTAGTTTTGTACCTAGTTTTCTAGTCTGGTACGGAACCTAGTTGTCTTGCCTGGTACCAAGTTTTCTGATCTTCAATACTGACAATGATATAAATTCCATTACCTACCTCAGTTACCTAATTTTGTACCCTAGTTTTGAAACAACTTAAGTCTGAGATGATATCAGAGTATGCATCACTTCATGACATTGCACCATTCTGTGTCATATCAGAACAGCATAGATTTGCCCAGGTTTCCTTCCTCTTTATAACTGAGCTGATAAATCATTATTGTTCCATTAATGGAACCAGAACCACACAAAGGCTGTCAGTATTGATCAACTGTAGTTGAAGCAGTGCAATTTCATTATCATCAGTATAAGAAATTTAAGTTACAAATAAATCTTCAAATTTCACAATATAAAATATTTCCTAAAATTTAACCTTATGTCTCTTTCTTAGTAGGAAATAGTGGTGATACTACACGTATCTACCAAAAAGTAAATAAATGGATGTCATGATTGGTCAAACCTCAACTTTTTCTTTGTTGATGTGGCCATACTGATACAGCTAATCTGTTACATACTCTAGCAGTCCTGGACTTTACAAACTATTAAGCCAGCTTAACTTTATCTAAGCTGTATATGAAGCCCTTTAGGCAAGCTCAAATACTGAATGGTAATGTCTGAAAGCTGAATTATGATATCTTGACTTGTGGTACCGAAAGCCACACTACAGTGATAGTATTGTCACCAGCAGGCCATGCACTCTGGTTGTGTCAACACTGATTAAAACACAGATTAGTAGTAGTATATTATATCACCTTGTGTAAACATATGGTGATCATCCCAATTGTTTATAATAGTGTGTCAACCCACACTGTACAAAAATTCTATATTAAATAATTAACATTGCCTAGTGTATAGCCCTGTCTACTATCTTGTGTAATTTGCTATCTTAATTTGGAATCATTATCTGCTTGCTCCACGTATATCTTTACCATAAAGTTAATAGAACAATGAAGGAGAGAACTTTGTTTCCTATAAAGTAAAAATTACCTCCACTGATCAACAACTTTCATTGTTATTTGATTACAATATACAATATCTCTGACACTGGGTTGGGACCAAACACACTTAGCGATTACATAGCATTAAAACTATTATCATCACATATACTAGTAAAAAATTCATGATATTACAATAGAGAGACGGTCTATAGGACATGCACTCCTCATTTCATTCTTGATTTCACCTGAATTTTACAACAGACACCTGTTCCTGCACAAATTGGAAAAGATATTTCTTAAAAGTTGGAAAAATCCAGGGCTCTCGATCTGCCAGATTTGGGGCCGAATACCCAATGCAAAATAGTATCATTTTTTCCCAATTTAGATCCCAAGTTTTCCCCAATTCTAAGGAAAACATCATTATTTTTCCCAATTCAAAGGGCCCCGGGCCCCAGGTCCAGAATAGGATGTGAGAGCCCTGAAATCATTCATGATTTTTTGGAAATCTTGAAAACCAAACCAGAATTTTTCTGGTGGAATTTTTTCTGATAACATCCGAGTACCATTTAAAAATTTTGATGAGTCTAGTGGCAAAGATATATAGAGGGTTTACAATAATTGTGCGAGTCCCACAGGAAAAGTATGAATGCTAAGTCTGACATAATTGATTCCACAAAATCACTGCTTACACACTTTTTAGTTATCATAGTAAATGGAACAGATTGTTTCAGATGGAAAAATAGAGCACTAATTGTAACAGCTTCTATAAGAAACCCTTCAAAAAACAAATGGTATAAACTCACTATTTTACCTAAGCTGCCTCTACATAGCTAAGTTGGATACCATAAACTTGCACTATATTAACGTAACACATTCCCGATGGTTGTTTTTCTAAAACCACAGCTGAGTGAGACAACTATCATTGTATCAGTAATTCACAGTTTGTGGACAATCACTCTAGCCATGACAAATCGTTATAATGTTTTGACACAGCCATTAACAATGTGAAATAAAAAATAATGACTATTCCCTCACCACGAAACAACTTGTTTAAGTGTTTATAATTTGTACAACAGCTTAACATTAATCATTTCAATATTTCTGAATGATTACATAATTTTATAGTAGTAAACAGGCTATTTCTGTAGCTAAGAAATGTTTGATTTTCCAAGATTAAAGTAAATCAGGAATATTTGTTGAAATTTTAAGAAAAATATGTATCATTTTTACTATTTCTCCAATTCATACCAACACAAGCTGCTGTAAAACCAATGTAGAAAAAAAACATTCCATCTAAAATGAATACCAAGAAATATATGTTGTAAATACAACTATTTAAACCAATTAAAAAATGATTTATGTTTCTATAATATAAACTGAAGAGTGGTTTAAAAATTTGATTCATTGTTTTATTTTGCAGCCAATAAAAACGATAATCAGTAACAATAACAATACTAGTAATATGACTTTATCTACATTGGCCAGTCAGACTACCAAATATAGATATCTATACAACATGACCTGTGATATCTATTGTCAATAAAATATGTAGGTTTTGTTTTAATGATAATCATATTGTCAGGTATACATCAGGGTATCTATTGTCATTATAGAACATTTTGTTTAAAAGTAAAACCTGCAGTTTTAATATTACTATATACAGATATATAGTACATATGTATATGTATATATTCACACATTGCAGTTCACAACTTTACAGCTATACTGAGGGACTGGACTCCACATGGTGTCCCAGTATATACACCACCTATAACAATGGGAACAAAGGCAACCCTACCTAGCTACCAGCTGTTTCAGTAACGACATCTTTCATTGTTATCATTAATGATAGTACATGTACCCTAAATAATTTGACGGTGGAATGTCCAACCTATTGCAGTTATATATACCAATATTACTTTTCCACACCCCTAAAGAAATTAAATTCTCTCAAATATACGACATACATCAAAATGTTATTTGAATGTGGACGACGAGTATCAACATCTATGATGTAATTTGATGTTGACCGTCTGCGAGACCCTTAGAACAAATACGGTACTATCGATCTACAAACCTACGATTGGACTTTTTCAATAATCCCTCCGTCTGCTGCATGAACAATGAAATCTCTGAAAAGTAACATAGTTAGAAAACTCGCACGTGTATAATAACCATATACCACGACAGTGCCCGGGGGTGGGGGAGGTTTCATCAAGCTTTGACAGCCAGTCATACATAAACACGGCGGTTTTGACAGCTTTCCTAACGGTACTTTAGACACCGCTACATTTGACGATAAATAGACGGATTTAGGTCCATTTAAACACAGCAAAAACACATCACACATCTCCAACAACAGAATATACATATATACAAGCAGAAGTTGGAGCAACATATCAGGACTTTCAAATAAGGAATTATTGACCGAAAAAATGGCATGGCGGTCGGCTTGCCCGGTTCGCCATGTTGCTGTGGACGATGAGGCAAGTGCCTGCTTTACTCACTTTCCCTGCTGTTCTGCCAAGGCGGACGATCCCGAGCTTGAAGCCCGCCATGGTTAGGCACAGTTTATTGCCTCCCGCAAGGTTATCGAGGTATCCACTTGTCCCGGTAAGGGGCAATCCTCCAGCCCACATACACTGATCACTCACTTTCTCTGTCTTCCTAGCCTTTGTGTGTTATCGCATTGTTTCCCACGTGGTAAATAGACCCCGAAACGAACCAATCAGAGTATAGGATCGATTCACTTCCGTGAGAGGTCAAAGGTTATGTTTACATTGAGCACATGGTTAAGTTTAATACCCTGGAAATCTTACACATAATCGCAAGTTGGATTTTTTTTTCAAAATTTTAACAATCGGTGCAACTGTGAAATATCTTCATGTTTTCTATAAATAGATACAGGTAAGATTTGCGTTATTTCTATTTGTTCGTAACAATTATTGTCTGCTGTAAATGTCCAAATGATATAGAACCAACTTACCATCTTCGTGGAAAACATCTGCAGAGATCAAAACAAGAAAAGGATATAGGAGTTATTATAGATGCTGATCTATCTTTTGATGAACACATCTCAGAAAAAGTAAAAAAAAAAAAGAAGCAAACTCCATGTTTGCACTTCTCCGGAGGACTTTCCAGTTCTTGAACATTAATTATATAAATGTTTAGTGAGGTCACAGCTGGACTATGCCAGTTCAGTTTGGGCCCCATATCTTAAAAAAACACATTGACAAGATTGAGGGAGTCCAGAGAAGAGCAACCAAGTGTCTTCCGGGTATGAAGGACCTGACCTACAATGAGAGGTTGAAGAAACTAAAGCTTCCAACACTGGCATTCAAGAGAATAAGGGGAGATATGATATAACTGTATAAAATAACAAGTCAAATTTATGATAATGAATGTTTTAATGCTATTACATTTTGGAAAGATGCCTCTGATCGCCATAGTCACAGAGGTCATTCAAAGAAAATATTTCCTAAATAATTCACAACTATACTAAAAAAAAAAAAAAAACATTTTTCAAACAGAACAGTAAAAATTTGGAATGAACTTCCAGAAACCTAGAACTTTTCTTTAATTATAAAGCATCAATCCAGAATTAGATATCATGTCCAGTACTGGATATATGTATTTTATTATGTATTCATACTGTATTGTAATGAGTCTAGAGGACTATGACAAGTCCTGAACCAGAAATAAACTTATCTTGTAACAAAAACTGGTAAACCATTAACTCTGGAATGCACATTCTTTGAATTTCTGCAAGCCTTAATTATCATATATAGACATAAAAGTTAAAACATAGGGTGAATTGCTGTACAAGTGATATCTATCATTTTACTGTACAATACAATCACTGCATTGCTGATCCACACATATCTCCAGCCAGCTCCACCTTTCCCATGGCATTTGAACTCCTAAGCTAGATGGCTTCATTCCCCACCATAACCAGTCGGTCTCAGCAATCTTTGACAATTGTTCTACTGCTGCATTCACATCTCTACCCTTGGCCCGGAGTGTCGAGAACATCTCCAGAGGAATTGTGCTGGAAATTCTAGAAATCCAATCTCCATTCGGAGGTTGCCTTTTTCTGTTAATGCTTCACATCATTCCTCCCAATTAAGATACAATCGTCTCCACCATTATCATGGTCTTTCCTTAATGTGACCAGGTGGGAATAAACAAGGTTTATTTAAAAGATACGTGGAAAACTTGGGTGATCCTTATTTCCCAGTCTGTTGTTGTTGAGAGTGTAATTCACTGCACTCAATTGTTTTGTTTTTTTTTTGATTCAGGTTTTTATCAATAGTCACATACATCAATCACATCACATGCATAACTACACGTCATACATTGTACTTGTATCTAAAATTAATGCATATAATATAATTCACTAATTTATTAACTGATTAATAAAGATCCATTTGTTTTGAATAATTTCTTGTTTTCTAAGGCTGTATCTATATAACCCAATGTCCTCTATTTTTTATATTGAGAAATATATTTCTTGCATTCAGAAATAGTTACAGTTTTATTTTTTAATTTACACAAAAATATAAAGTATTTCATAAGAAGCATTAAAAAATTGATTTCATATCTGTGTTCTATTTCTACTACACCAAGAACAAAGACTTCTGGATTTCTAGGTAAAGACAATTGGTGTTTGTTTTCTAATAATTCTATTAACCAAAACCAAAGTGTTTTAACAACATTACATTCCCAAAATAGGTGTATAGTCGTTTCTCTTTCATTTGTACAGAATGTGCATCTTTCGGTTTCTGCAAGTTTACATTTCATTAACTTTGTATTTGTATACAATATCCTATGTAATATTTTATACTGAAAAGTTAGAAGTTTTGTATCATCAGTTATCTCCCTTGATATTAAATAAATTAACTCCCAAGTGTCTTCACTAATGTCAGTATTAAAGTTTTCTTGCCATTTTCTTTGACTATTTGTAGGTTTCTCAGAAACAGATTTAATAAAAATTTGATAGAAGTACTTTGTGACTTTGTCATGTGTATTAAGGTAATCAATTAACCTATATTGAACATTTACCATAGGTACTTGAACATTTACATTCTGCAGAATTACTTTCCAGTTCCTTGGAATGGCATTAATCACACCATAGTAATCTATCAGGTTAACATTAATGTTATATTTGTTTTTAAATATATCATATGGCATAAAACAATAATTTTCTAATAAGTCTGAAACAAAAAATATATCATTTTTACACCACTGTTTATAAAGGAACCATTTGTTACCTCTTTTGATAAAATTATTGAAAAAGATAGGCTGTGATATAATCAGGGGTTGTGGGGGATACATCTTCCTGTACTGAGGCCCAAGCTGTAAATACTTCACTCCAAAAAGTATTAAACATTTTTGATATCTCAGTTAATCATAACCTTGCACTCAATTGTACTGTGGCACACTATGTTCCATAAAACATTAATCATAGAAAGAATGACATTTGTCTGTATTCTTACTATGTCATTTGATATGCTGTGAAGTCTTAGTATACTATTTTCATTTTAAAATGCTGAAACTGTTCTATTTCAATGTTTTCTGAGAAAATGTACATTTAATCTACATTTTGCACTGACATGCATTTCATTGATGACAGGAGTTGATTCTTGATATGACTCTAAGGAACCATTGTTATGGTTTGGAATCTTCTTTCTTTAATAATTCTAGTTTGTAAATGCAATTTTGTTACTCATTCAAAACAAACACTTTCACTGAGGAAGCCTCATATAAAGTGATATAATAGATTCAGGGTAACAGGAGTTGATTATTGTTAACATCTTATTCTGCAAAAACAACTGATACTGAAGTTTCCTGAAGTTTACTGAAGATATTCAATTCAGTTTCAAAGTTTAATATTTTCTGAGCTTATTGTGTTCATTAACAGCACCATGGAGGTCACCCCTCTACCCAAATTTCATTCATGGTCTGTGTAACTCTAACACTCATGTATCGGGCAGAGGATTGATTCACTGAGAGGAGCTATATCGATACAGGTATATTCATGTAAAACTGGAACTATCGGATACAGGAATATTCATAAAAATTGGAACTATCTAATACAGGTATATTCATATAAATTGGAACTATCTAATACAGGAATATTCATATAAATTGGAACTATCTAATACAGGTATATTCATGTAAAACTGGAACTACCTAATACAGGTATATTCATGTAAAACTGGAACTATCTAATACAGGTATATTCATGTAAAACTGGAACTATCTAATACAGGTATATTCATATAAATTGGAACTATTTTATACAGGTATATTCATATAAATTGGAACTATCTAATACAGGAATATTCATATAAATTGGAACTATCTAATACAGGTATATTCATGTAAAACTGGAACTACCTAATACAGGTATATTCATGTAAAACTGGAACTATCTAATACAGGTATATTCATGTAAAACTGGAACTACCTAATACAGGTATATTCATGTAAAACTGGAACTATCTAATACAGGTATATTCATATAAATTGGAACTACCTAATACAGGTATATTCATGTAAAACTGGAACTACCTAATACAGGTATATTCATGTAAAACTGGAACTATCTAATACAGGTATATTCATATAAATTGGAACTATTTTATACAGGTATATTCATATAAATTGGAACTATCTAATACAGGAATATTCATATAAATTGGAACTATCTAATACAGGAATATTCATATAAATTGGAACTATCTAATACAGGAATATTCATATAAATTGGAACTATCTAATACAGGTATATTCATGTAAAACTGGAACTACCTAATACAGGTATATTCATGTAAAACTGGAACTACCTAATACAGGTATATTCATGTAAAACTGGAACTATCTAATACAGGTATATTCATGTAAAACTGGAACTATCTAATACAGGTATATTCATATAAATTGGAACTATTTTATACAGGTATATTCATATAAATTGGAACTATCTAATACAGGAATATTCATATAAATTGGAACTATCTAATGCAGGTATATTCGTGTAAAACTGGAACTATCTTATACAGGTATATTCATGTAAAACTGGAACTATCTAATACAGGTATATTCATATAAAACTGGAACTATCTAATACAGGTATATTCATATAAATTGGAACTATTTTATACAGGTATATTCATATAAATTGGAACTATCTAATACAGGAATATTCATATAAATTGGAACTATTTTATACAGGTATATTCATATAAAACTGGAACTACCTAATACAGGAATATTCATATAAATTGGAACTATTTTATACAGGTATATTCATATAAAACTGGAACTATCTAATACAGGTATATTCATATAAATTTTAACTATCTAATACAGGTATATTCATATAAATTGGAACTATCTAATACAGGTATATTCATATAAATTGGAACTATCTTATACAGGAATATTCATATGAATTGGAACTATCTAATACAGGAATATTCGTGTAAAACTGGAACTATTTAATACAGGAGTATTGATGTAATGGAATATACTTGTCAAACTATACCAAAGATTTGTAGTATGTTTTGCTGTTGATAGAAGGGTTGCAGGTTTTACTCCTGACATGGTAAGACAGTGCTGTAAATATTGTGTAGAAGATGTTATATTGAGCAGAATGTCACAGCTTCAGCATTAAACTCCCCAAGGAATCCAGAAAGAATACATATGTCTGATAACAATAGCATCTCTCTACCCCTCCCCCTCCCCCCACCTCCTTAGGACTAAATAAGAAGTAAGGGTTAGGAATATTAATTCCTTAACAAACAACAACACTATTAAAGAGTAACAATACAAAACCAACACTGAATTTGGAAGTAAACTTCACTTTTATTGTGAATACATTTTCTCTCATTCAATGTGTAACAAAATAGATATTCCATGCACTCTCTTGTATTCTATCATCTATAGTCCATTTTTTCAGCTGTAAAACATTAATTACAAGATGGTAATATCCATGTAAAGGTTCAAATAGCACAAACAGTATAAATTTTCTGTTAGTTTTTTGGTGGCAGGTACAAGTTATACCTCAACACTACAGATTTACATGTTGTAGAGAAATTTGCATTTTATTATGAGTATAAGTGGTATATTTCACATTAGACATGGTAGTACTTCCTGTTAACCATTGATTAACACATCACATTCCTCTAATTTTATCACAATACGGTAGAAAAAATCAGTTCAAACATTTTTTTTAAAGTACAAGGCACTTTTGATAAATGTACACAAAAATTAAACGACAGCATGCATAGTTTAATAAAATTTATTCTTACTGTAAATATAGACAAAACGAAACATCAAATAAAACATATTGCACATGCCATGCAAGATCTGAAACTGACACCTCATTCAAGATCTATAAATTCTCACATGCCATGCAAGGTCACCTCTCACAGGTCAAATAAGACTACAAACACCATAACCTCGCACTAGAAACAAGAACACACTCTAACATGCTGTAAAAAGACCGCAATCTCATATACCACAAAAGACCCACCCTCTATAGTCCAGGGGTTACAATCACTCTCGATCACTCTTGCTCTCTGCACCCCTGAAACATGTCATGGCAAAATTGAAGGCTCCAGAAGACGAAAAGACTAGTTTGATGCTTTCATGTACATCAAATGAATTCCGAGGTCACATAAGGTATATTGTAATGGTTCTGAAGTAGGGTATAGCTCCTTTGTAATCATCAAAAGGAGCATATCAGCCTGCAGTGAATGGTCAATGGTTTTCTCCTGGAACCATTCAAAATTACTTGACTTCTGTCTTTAATTTTGCCATGACATGTTCCAGGAGTGCTGATAGCAAAAGTGATCATAACCTCTGGAGTATTGAGGATACACAAGATAATATTTTCACATGCCATATATTCAAGAGCACTTTCTCGCACACCATACAGTAATTCATTCTCACGCATCATACATTACCAAATTCCCACATTCCATTCTCAAATTCCCATACACCATACAAAGCCGTAATTCTCATTCTCACATGCCGTTCCAGGTCATCACAATCTTTCTTCCTTCACATTCTGATTGTAACAGCAAAAATTCAATTAAACATTTTAGACAATCAAATCAATTTTGCAAGGTATTTTTCTCATATATCAATGTCATTTGACTCATCCATCGCAAAAAAAAAAAAAAACAACAAGAAGAATATGAAGTTTACAATTGATAAATGAAAAATTACTCAAGTTATTGAGGTGAAACCTATTTTGCAAATATACCAAGGGTCATAACTCTGTAAATAATGAGCGAAAAATGTTGATTATCGAACTTGACTTGGCTTTTATGGTAATAAAGCTTCATGTGAAGTTTCAAATTAATCTGTAAGAAGCTATTTAAGTTATCGAATGGAAACCTATGTGGGGCCGCCCCTTTCGACGGGCGTATAAAAAACAACAACAAAGAATACATTAATTATGTATTGGTTTAGGGACCGCGCTTTTATCTTCCAACAAGCTTTTTAATTAATAACACAACCAATTGTAAACTCAAAATTCAATTTTGTTTTCATAGAAAGTGCAGTACTGAAAACACCTAAATGATGAACATCATTAAAAAAGCCATTGTCCACTCTGGTGATAAGACCAACCAAGATTGAAACTAAATGCTATTAAATACCTACTGCATTAATGAGAAAATACCTATGTAAAAATACAACAATAGTTTTGGCACATGAAAGGTAACAAAGATAGGTCAACAGATATAATGATTAAAGAATATCAAACCCAGGGATATATATATCTCTGGTTATAAATGAGCACGACGTATACAGTTCACCTGAGCTACAATCTCAGACATATACAGTCATACTTGAGCTACAATCTCAGACGTATACAGTCATACCAGAGCTACAATCTCAGACGTATACACTCATACCTGAGCTCCAATCTCAGACGTATACACTCATACCAGAGCTCCAATCTCAGACATGTACAGTCATACCTGATCTACAATCTCAGATGTATACAGTCATACCTGAGCTCCAATCTCAGACGTATACACTCATACCTGAGCTCCAATCTCAGACGTATACAGTCATACCTGAACTCCAATCTCAGATGTATACACTCATACCTGAGCTCCAATCTCAGACATATACAGTCATACATGAGCTCCAATCTCAGATGTATACAGTCATACCTGAGCTCCAATCTCAGATGTATACAGTCATACCTGAACTCAAATCTCAGACGTATACAATCATACATGAGCTCCAATCTCAGACATATACAGTCATACATGAGCTCCAATCTCAGATGTATACAGTCATACCTGAGCTCCAATCTCAGATGTATACAGTCATACCTGAGCTCCAATCTCAGATGTATACAGTCATACCTGAGCTACAATCTCAGATGTATACAGTCATACCTGAGCTCCAATCTCAGATGTATACAGTCATACCTGAGCTCCAATCTTGGATGTGTACAGTCATACATGAGCTCCATTCTCAGATACATGCAATCATTCTTGAACTTAAGCCTTGGTTAAAGACTTTGTATGTGACGAATGCGTAGGATCCAGTAGCTCGGGGATTTCCCACTTGTCAAATCTGGTAAGATGACTTGACTTATACTCTGAACTTCTTAGTGTAAGCTTATATTGTTTTATATGAAATCAATCTCTTTGTAAGGATTTTACATACAAATACATTCATTACATTTGATATATATTTAAAGGAAGCTGTAGACTTGAACAATGTGAACTAAAAGGTCATCTTTATACATGCTGATTATTTTCCACAATGCAAAAGCTTCCTCTGAACATGCCTAATGGACTACTGGGAAGTATTCAGGAATTGCTGTCATTGATGGAAGATGAACTACTGGCTGGGGACTGAGACCTGAACCCATTTCTGACATTGAGGACAGGTGGAGTTAATATAGAGTCAAAATCCGGCTTCAGTGGTGGATCTGCTGGTGGGGCGATAGTCACTGGGATTTGTAGTGTACTCAATGGGTCTGACACATAACCTACAACATAGAAAGTGTACTATACTTATTGGGTCAGAAACATAACCTACAACATAGAAAGTGTACTATACTCAAAGGGACAGACACATAACCTACAACATAGAAAGTGTACTACACTCATTGGGTCAGACACATAACCTACAACATAGAAAGTGTACTATACTCATTGGGTCAGACACATAACCTACAACATAGAAAGTGTACTATACTCATTGGGTCAGACACATAACCTACAACATAGAAAGTGTACTACACTCATTGGGTCCGACACATAACCTACAACATAAAAAGTGTACTACACTCATTGGGTCAGACACATAACCTACAACATAGAAAGTGTACGTCAGACACATAACCTACAACATAGAAAGTATACTATACTCAAAGGGTCAGACACATAACCTACAACATAGAAAGTGTACTATACTCAATGGGTCAGACAGAAACCTACAACATAGAAAGTGTACTATACTCAATGGAACAAACACACAACCTACCACATAGAAAGTGTACTATACTCAATACTCAATGGAACAAACACACAACCTACCACATAGAAAGTGTACTATACTCATTGGGTCAGAAACATAACCTACAACATAGAAAGTGTACTACACTCATTGGGTCAGAAACATAACCTACAACATAGAAAGTGTACTATACTCAAAGGGTCAGACACAAACCTACAACATAGAAAGTGTACTATACTCATTGGGTCAGATACAAAACCAACAACATAGAAAGTGTACTATACTCAATGGGTCAGACAGAAACCTACAACATAGAAAGTGTACTATACTCAATGGAACAAACACACAACCTACCACATAGAAAGTGCACTATACTCAAAGGGTCAGACACATAACCTACAACATAGAAAGTGTACTATACTCATTGGGTCAGACACAAAACCTACAACACAGAAAGTGTACTATACTCATTGGGTCAGATACAAAACCAACAACATAGAAAGTGTACTATACTTAAAGGGTCAGACACATAACTTACAACATAGAAAGTGTATAAAAGTCATTGGGTCAGACACATAACTACAACATAGTGTCAGACACATTGGGTCAGACACATAACCTACAACATAGAAAGTGTATTGGGTATACACAAAACCTACAACACATAACCTACAACATAGAAAGTGTACTATAACCTACAACATAGAAAGTGTACTATACTCAATGGGTCAACACATAACCTACAACATAGAAAGTGTATGTCAGACACAAACCTACAACATAGAAAGTGTACTATCATTGGGTCAGACATAACCTACAACATAGAAAGTGTACTATACTCAAAGGGTCAGACACACTACAACATAGAAGCATAACCTACAACATAGAAAGTGTACTATACTGGGTCAGACACATAACCTACAACATAGAAAGTGTACTATACTCAATGGAACAAACACACAACCTACCACATAGAAAGTGCACTATACTCAAAGGGTCAGACACATAACCTACAACATAGAAAGTGTACGTCAGACACATAACCTACAACATAGAAAGTGTACTATACTCAAAGGGTCAGACACAAACCTACAACATAGAAAGTGTACTATATTCATTTGGTGAGACACATAACCTACAACATAGAAAGTGTACTATACTCATTGGGTCAGACATATAACCTACAACATAGAAAGTGTACTACACTCATTGGGTCAGACACATAACCTACAACATAGAAAGTGTACTATACTCAATGGGTTAGACAGAAACCTACAACATAGAAAGTGTACTATACTCAAGGGTGGACACAAACACACAACCTACCATAACCTACAACATAGAAAGTGTACTATACTCAATGGGTCAGACACATAACCTACAACATAGAAAGTGTACTATACTCATTGGGTCAGACACATAACCTACAACATAGAAAGTGTACTATACTCAATGGAACAAACACAAAACCTACCACATAGAAAGTGTATGTCAGACACAAACCTACAACATAGAAAGTGTACTATATTCATTTGGTGAGACACATAACCTACAACATAGAAAGTGTACTATACTCAAAGGGTCAGACACATAACCTACAACACAGAAAGTGTAGTATACTCAAAGGGTCAGAAACATAAACTACTACATTGAAAGTGTGGTATAGTCAATGGGTCAGACACATAACCTACAACATAGAAAGTGTACTCAAAGGGTCAGACACAACATAGAAAGTGTACTATACTCATTGGGTCAGACACAAAACCTACAACATAGAAAGTGTACTATACTCATTGGGTCAGACATATAACCTACAACATAGAAAGTGTATTATACTCATTGGGTTAGACACATTACCTACAACATAGAAAGTATACTATACTCAAAGGGTCAGACACATAACCTACAACATAGAAAGTGTACTATACTCAATGGGTCAGACAGAAACCTACAACATAGAAAGTGTGGGTCAGACACATAACCTACAACATAGAAAGTGTGGGTCAGACACAAAACCTACAACATAGAAAGTGTACTATACTCATTGGGTCAGACATATAACCTACAACATAGAAAGTGTACTATACTCAAAGGGTCAGACACATAACCTACAACATAGAAAGTGTACTATACTCATTGGGTCAGACACAAAACCTACAACATAGAAAGTGTACTATACTCATTGGGTCAGAAACATAACCTACAACATTGAAAGTGTACTATACTCAAAGGGACAGACATACAACCTACAATATACAAAGTGTACTCATAACTACAACACAGAAAGTGTACTAAGGGTCAGACACAAACCTACAACATAGAAAGTGTACTATACTCATTGGGTCAGATACAAAACCAACAACATAGAAAGTGTACTATACTTAAAGGGTCAGACACATAACTTAGAACATAGAAAGTATACTATACTCAAAGGGTCAGACACATAACCTACAACATAGAAAGTGTACTATACTCATTGGGTCAGACACAAAACCTACAACACAGAAAGTGTACTATACTCAATAACCTACAACATAGAAAGTGTACTATACTCAAAGGGTCAGACACATAACCTACAACATTGAAAGTGTACTATACTCAAAGGGTCAGACACAAACCTACAACATAGAAAGTGTACTATACTCATTGGGTCAGACACATAACCTACAACATAGAAAGTGTATGTCAGACACATAACCTACAACATAGAAAGTGTACTATACTCAAAGGGTCAGACACATAACCTACAACATAGAAAGTGTACTATACTCAAAGGGTCAGACACATAACCTACAAAATAGAAAGTGTACTATACTCAATGGGTCAGACACATAATCTACAACATAGAAAGTGTATGTCAGACACAACATACAACATAGAAAGTGTACTATACTGATTGGGTCATACACATAACCTACAACATAGAAAGTGTACTCTACTAAAAGGGTCAGACACATAACCTACAACATAGAAAGTGTACTATACTCAAAGGGTCAGACATATAACCTACAACATAGAAAGTGTATGTCAGACACAACCTACAACATAGAAAGTGTACTATACTCATTGGGTCAGATACAAAACCAACAACATAGAAAGTGTACTATACTCAAAGGGTCAGACACATAACCTACAACATAGAAAGTGTATTATACTCATTGGGTCAGACACATAACCTACAACATAGAAAGTGTACTATACTCAATGGGTCAAACACAAACCTACAATATAGAAAGTGTACTATACTCAATGGGAGAGACACATAACCTACAACATAGAAAGTGTATGTCAGACACAAACCTACAACATAGAAAATGTACTATATTCATTGGGTGAGACACATAACCTACAACATAGAAAGTGTACTATACTCATTGGGTCAGACACATAACCTACAACATAGAAAGTGTATTATACTCATTGGGTCAGACACATAATTTACAACATATCAAGTGTACTATACTCAATGGGTCAGACACATAACCTACAACATACAAAGTGTATGTCAGACACAACCTACAACACAGAAAGTGTACTATACTCATAGGTCAGATACAAAACCTACAACATAGAAAGTGTACTATACTTAAAGGGTCAGACATATAACCTACAACATTGAAAGTGTACTATACTCATTGGGTCAGACACAAAACCTACAACATAGAAAGTGTACTATACTCAAAGGGACAGACACATAACCTACAACATAGAAAGTGTACTATACTTAAAGGGTCAGACATATAACCTACAACATAGAAAGTGTACGTCAGACACATTACCTACAACATAGAAAGTGTACTATACTCAAAGGGTCAGACACAAACCTACAACATAGAAAGTGTACTATACTCAATGGAACAAACACAAAACCTACCACATAGAAAGTGTATGTCAGACACAAACCTACAACATAGAAAATGTACTATATTCATTGGGTGAGACACATAACCTACAACATAGAAAGTGTACTATACTCATTGGGTCAGACACATAACCTACAACATAGAAAGTGTATTATACTCATTGGGTCAGACACATAACCTACAACATAGAAAGTGTACTATACTCAATGGGTCAGACACCTAACCTACAACATAGAAAGTGTACTATACTCAACGGGTCAGACACATAACCTAAAACATAGAAAGTGTACTATACTCAAAGGGTCAGACACATAACCTACAACATAGAAAGTGTACTATACTCAACGGGTCAGACACATAACCTACAACATAGAAAGTGGACTATACTCAAAGGGTCAGACACATAACCTACAACATAGAAAGTGTACTATACTCAATGGGCCAAACACAAACCTACAATATAGAAAGTGTACTATACTCAATGGGTCAAACACAAACCTACAATATAGAAAGTGTACTATACTCATTGGGTCAGACACAACCTACAACATAGAAAGTGTACTATACTCAAAGGGTCAGACACAAAACCTACAACATAGAAAGTGTATTATACTCATTGGGTCAGACACATAACCTACAACATAGAAAGTGTACTATACTCAAAGAGTCAGACAAAAAACCTACAACATAGAAAGTGTACTATACTCAACGGGTCAGACACATAACCTACAACATAGAAAGTGTACTATACTCAAAGGGTCAGACACATAACCTACAACATAGAAAGTGTACTATACTCAAAGGGTCAGACATATAACCTACAACATAGAAAGTGTACTATACTCATTGGGACAGATACAAAACCTACAACATAGAAAGTGTACTATACTTAAAGGGTCAGACACATAACCTAGAACATAGAAAGTGTACTATACTCAACGGGTCAGACACATAACCTACAACATAGAAAGTGTACTTCAGACACATAACCTACAACATAGAAAGTGTACTATACTCAATGGAACAAACACAAAACCTACCACATAGAAAGTGTATGTCAGACACAAACCTACAACATAGAAAATGTACTATATTCATTGGGTGAGACACATAACCTACAACATAGAAAGTGTACTATACTCAAAGTGTCAGACACATAATTTACAACATAGAAAGTGTACTATACTCAATGGGTTAGACACATAACCTACAACATAGAAAGTGTATGTCAGACACAACCTACAACATAGAAAGTGTACTATACTTAAAGGGTCAGACACATAACCTACAACATAGAAAGTGTACTATACTCATTGGATCAGACACAAAACCTACAACATAGAAAGTGTACTATACTCAACGGGTCAGACACATATCCTAAAACATAGAAAGTGTACTATACTCAAAGGGTCAGACACATAACCTACAACATAGAAAGTGTACTATACTCAACGGGTCAGACACATAACCTACAACATAGAAAGTGGACTATACTCAAAGGGTCAGACACAATACCTACAACATAGAAAGTGTACTATACTCAATGGGCCAAACACAAACCTACAATATAGAAAGTGTACTATACTCAATGGGTCAAACACAAACCTACAATATAGAAAGTGTACTATACTCATTGGGTCAGACACAACCTACAACATAGAAAGTGTACTATACTCAAAGGGTCAGACACAAAACCTACAACATAGAAAGTGTACTATACTCAATGGGACAGACACACAACCTACAACATACAAAGTGTACTATACTCATTGGGTCAGACAAATAACTTACAACATAGAAAGTGTACTATACTCAAAGGAACAGACACAAAACCTACAACATAGAAAGTGTACGTCAGACACATAACCTACAACATAGAAAGTGTATTATACTCATTGGGTCAGACACAAAACCTACAACATAGAAAGTGTACTATACTCATTGGGTCAGACATATAACCTACAACATAGAAAGACACATAACCTACAACATAAAAAGTGTACTACACTCATTGGGTCAGACACATAACCTACAACATAGAAAGTGTACTATACTCAAAGGGACAGACACACAACCTACAACATACAAAGTGTACTATACTCAAAGGGTCAGACACATAACCTACAACATAGAAAGTGTACTATACTCATTGGGTCAGACATATAACCTACATCATAGAAAGTGTACTATACTCATTAGGTCAGGCACATAACCTACAACATAGAAAATGTCTCAATGTGCAAAAATATTGAGGATTTTGTGCATGAATGTTTTCAAATCATACACAAATAACAACATGTTGTAATAAATCTGAGGATAGAATATTTAAGATGATGTGTAGTGGAGACTTACCATTCTTATCTATCTGTGGATACTGTAGGCGACGTCTCAACTCATCATCTGGAACAGCACTGTCATAAAACAGGCATAGGATTACACACAGGTAATTGTGATCACAGAAAAGTTAAATAGAGCAATTTTTGAATTGTTAATGTATGTGGCCTTGATTCTGCATGTGTGTTTATAATTGTGGCCCTGATTCTGCATATGTGTGGGTACTTGTAGCCCTGATTCTGCATGTGTGCATAATTGTGGCCTTAATTATGTATGTGTGTGTGTAATCTGCATGTGTTGGTGTCAGATGTGGTGATTCTGCCTGTGTTTGTGTCAGAGATCCTAATTCTGTATGTGTATGTGTACTTGTGGCCCTGATTCTGTATGTGTACTTGTGGCCCTGATTCTGTATGTTTACATGTGGACCTGATTCTGTATGTGTACTTGTGGCCTGATTCTGTATGTGTATGTGTACTTGTGGCCCTGATTATGTAAGTGTATGTGTACTTGTAGCCCTGATTATCTATGTGTATGTGTACTTGTGGCCCTGTTCTGTATGTGTGTGTGTGTACTTGTGGCCCTGATTCAGCTCATGTTGGTGTCTGTTGGCTTGATTTTGTAGGCTTTCCTCTATATGACTAATTACATAATAATTTTTGCAGATATAGGTGATTATCTGAATTCTTTTTCTATGATGTACAACTTTACCTGTGCCTAGTGGCCTCTTGTTCCCAGTGTGTCCTGAGGGCTGTCACATGACCAGCAAGGGGTGGGGTATCCCGACCTTCCTCCCCTTCTTCCTCATCCCTGATAGGAGAGAGCCGGGACACGAGGGAAACACTGATTGGTGAATTACTTAGGAGAGCAGCACCTTGAGACTGTTTACATTCCTCAAGAATAGTCACAATCTCTTTAAACTCTGGCCTATCCTACAAATGATATAAACATAAATCTCATTTATACTCATGCCTATTCTAATTACAATATAATTGATTTCATACACAGATCCAATTCAAGTGTGAAGAAATGTTGAAAAGTTGAATGTATCTATGAAGTGTACCCACCTCAGCCGATGCATTCCAACCACGCTGGAGGATAGCTACCAGTGGTTTAGGGAAAGTTAGTGCTATTGGAGGCCGAGTATTGTGGTAGGCCATTTCCGCAGCAGCAGCAGCTGTAAGTAAAGGGAGTTTACAGTCTAAAATAACAAGAGAATTGGCAGAACTGATGGATGTTCTTTGTAATAAATGCTAGTTCCAAAACAGCTGATTTTAACAAAATATAAGTACAATGTATGAAAAATAACAAAGGGAAATAACTCCTTAATTATACAAAAGAGAGTTATGGTTCTTGTACACTGCACTTCTCCTTATCGAGATCTATCTGCCAATGAAGTTTCATGTTGATACAAATAAATTTTGTCATTTGCTTTGGACAAAATTACAACAGATGGACAGACAGATGGATGGACAAACATATGGAGGACAAAGCAGCAACCATATGCTCTCCTTTTGGGGAGTATCAGAATCATATTCTAGTACATTTCAGTACATAGTAAGTCCATAAAACTTTATCAAATTGAATTCTTAAACTCATATTCTTTCATTGAGTCTTGTAAATAAAATCATGAAAAGCCTTACATTATTGAAATCATTGGAATGTCAAATGATTGGTCGCTTGGAATAGAAGAATAAATAGTAACCCTCACCTCTCCATTTTGTTAATGTTATCATTCTCATGGCCCTCTTACTTTGACCTTTGGTTGGTTTTAATTCATAATAAATATTTTCAAATCTATATCAGGTAAAAGATAAAAGAAAAAGCCTAAACCTTTGGACCTAGGAACTTAACCTTTGGTCAGATGGCTTCCAATTTGACCTTGACCTTTTAAATTAAAGCAGCATTTGTAATTGCATCAATTCTCATCTTAACTCTTTACAGGATGTCAACACCAACATCTAGATTATAGAATAAGCCGCTATCAACTTTGTTAAGGTGAGCTTAAAGATATCAACAGGATAATAGTACAACTGTCAAAGTGGAACCTGTATGAGTCAGAATCAACTGTAAAACACACTGACCAATAAATGTGATGTTGACTACTGTGGAAAAGGTCAGTGTGTTCAATATCAACTTTTGTGAACAGATGTTTTCTTTGAAGCAGAAATACATACCTGGTTTGAGATGACCAAATGGTAGTTCCCCTGCAAGCAGCTCCCACAGACAGAGGGAGTAACTGAACATATCAGCCTTTATACTGTACTTGGTACACTGAGTAAATATCTCTGGAGCCATCCAGCGCAGGTTCTGTCGATCAACCAAAGTTAATCTTTCAAATGGCATAAAAGTGAATAGCTATACCAGGAATGTGTTAATACCAGAAACCCTTTTTTTGAGAGAAGTTTCATCTCTTACATGATTTAGATATTGATCTTTAACAATCTGATTGTGTGTATACTCACACCTGGTTGTTTTGTCATGTTGTCCTCCAGAGATCGTAAAAATCTTGATTCTGAAATATAATGCTCATTTCTCTGAGAAAATTAACAAGCATATGCTGTCAAAATTATTCAACAAGGACTACCATATAGGCTTGTCTTTATATCTTACAAAAAACATACCCTCTCCACATCTTGTCATGTCTATTAAAAACACCCAAATCTTATCCTTAAACATCTTTCCCCAGAACTGCCTTCCCCACAAACACCTTGCTATAATGTCTCACCCCCAAAATCAGCCACAAGTGCATGTCCATTTTCGTCCAGTAAAACATTGTGGCTGTTGAGATCTCGGTGTATGATTGGCTGAGGCAGTGTATGTAGATATGCCATTCCTTTGGCAATGTCCACTGCTATGCTCAGTTTGGAATGCAGATCTATAACTCTGAAAATGAATCCTTTCACTGGTCAACAATGATAACCTTAAAAAACAACAATGATAACCTTAAAAAACAACAATTAATGTAAATACAGTTTATTTGTGTGGTAGTTTTTGTGTTATAAAACATATAATATGTGGAAGTTAGGTTTATTCTGTCTGATTTGAACTATAGAAGAGTCAAGTGTAGAAGTTATCTCCCTTTAGCTAAAGGCAAATAAGGCCACTTTCATGTAACCCAGTTGAAATAGTTCATTCGTCCATGAATTATTAACATGATAAACAAACACATCTGTACTAGAAGTTTGGAAATGATACAAGTAAAACTCAAAATGAATGTGGAAGATTTAAGTGTGATGTTTCACACTAGTGTGAAGCATATTAGCAGTGACGTATGTATTGTACAAGATAAGACTATAATCAATTTTGCTATGCTTTGTTTAACATTTAGTCACAGATGTGTTACCTTTTTTGTTCATGAAGTATACTGAAGAGGGAGCCACCAGACACAAACTGTGTAACAATGGCAAATTGCTGGAAAGAAACAATGGTCTTAAGTAATTATCAAGTCAACAAACATGTAAACTGTAAAACCATTTTATTTTTGTGAATTGCAGAAATATTTTTTATTATGGGTCAACATTTTCAGCATGCAATAGGATATTAACGTCATACCTGTAACGCAAATGTGAATCTCACCTAAATATATCACTTTGTGATTAATATTTCAGAGAAACAAATACAGCAAATTCTACTCAAAAAATAAAAACATAATCAAGTTTACACATTCTTCACATACTGGTAGCAAAAGAAAATTGTGAAATATCCATCATATTCCATGTTTTAAAAACTGGCACTTTTACTGTAGCTTTATAAGAAACGTCAGTGACTGTTGTATCATTGTGCTGTGATAAGCCCAACTGTATACTTGAGTCAAAGATCAGCTGATTACTGAATATATATATGACATAATTTTCAAAGAAAGTCAGAAATTTGAGAGTTGACCACCAGATTTATAACTGGATATATATGGTACTATTCTGTACTCACACTTGGATCATCTAAGCAAGCTCCTACAAAGTTGATCACATAGGGACTATTAAGCTTGGACAGTATGGCTACTTCTCTACAGAACATGTCCACATCAGATTTAGCACCAAAGGAATTAGCTCTGTACCTAGAGAGACAGGACACATTTAGTACAGAACATGTCTACATCGGATTTAGCACCAAAGGAGTTAGCTCTGTACCTAGAGAGACAGGACACACTTAGTACAGAACATGTCTACATCAGATTTAGCACCAAAGGAGTTAGCTCTGTACCTAGAGAGACAGGACACACTTAGTACAGAACATGTCTACATTAGATTTAGCACCAAAATCAGGATATACATGTAAGAATTATTGTATGAGCTGTACATAATCTGTAATAATGACTAACATCTGTTGATTTGTAAGATTTAATGACCTCTATAACCTCTAGTGTTGACTTTTTTTACCTCTAGTGTTGACTTGTACGACATCCAATGATTACCGAAATGACCTCTAATATTGACCCATATGACCTCTTTTGTTGACCCATATGACCTCTAATGACAATCTGTATGACCTCTAATGACGATCTATACGACCTATAATAATATATGTATGATATTTCTAATGCTTATCGGTATGTCCTCACCCAGACAGAACGAGTTGATTCCCTGAAAGGATGTCAAAAAAGATGTGTCACCTGTCCAGCCAAATAGGTATTTTCAGTGTTCAGTTTCTTCCCATACAAAGATCCCTGCAAATCAGTAATGGGGATAATGCTTTTAAATGACTGATAGTTATCCTACCTTTTTATGGCTACAACTTTTCCATCATAACGTCCTTTGAACACTTTGCCAAATGACCCACTGCCAATAACTTCCTCAAAGTCAAGGTCACTGATATTTAAGTGGTAGTGACGAGGTAGAGTAGATCTCAGCTGAAGTACATCAATTTTTTCTGTATAACGAGAACAACAAGGTGTTAAAAATTTGATCACATCTTATTGACAGTACAACATAATGACAGCAGTACAAAATCTGGTCATAAAATGTGAAATGTTGCATAAATCTGATAAAATGTGAAACATCTGACAAATATGAAATATCTGTTAATGTGAAATGTCTCATAGACTCATCCTTTAAACTGTGAAACATCTGATGAATGTTAAAACGTGAAACATTAGCTGCATGTTAAAATGTGAAACATTAGCTGAATGTAAAATGTGAACAATCTGATGAATATTATAATGTGAAACATTAGATGACTTTTAAAATGTCTGAACAGATATGAAACAACTACTGATCTATACAATATTGACATCAATAGCAAGTCTGAATATCTAATGAAATTATACACCATCTGATGATCTATACAACATCACACAAACATACAAATTTGATATGTTAACTCTGTGATATCTGTTAACTCTGTGATATCTGTTAACTATGTGATATCTGTTAACTCTGTGATATCTGATAACTATGTGATATCTGTTAACTTCTGTTAACTCTGATATCTGTTAACTCTGTGATATCTGTTAACTCTGTGATACTCTGTGATATCTGTTAACTCTGTGATATCTCATAACTATGTGATATCTGTTAACTTCTGTTAACTCTGAAATCTGTTAACTCTGTGATATCTGTTAACTATGTGATATCTGTTAACTCTGTGATATCTGATAACTATGTGATATCTCATAACTATGTGATATCTGTTAACTTCTGTTAACTCTGATATCTGTTAACTCTGTGATATCTGTTAACTCTGTGATATCTGTTAACTATGTGATATCTGTTAACTCTGTGATATCTGTAAAATCTGAGATATCCCTTAACTCTGTGATATCTGTTAACTATGTGATATCTGTTAACTCTATGATATCTGTTAACTATGTGATATCTGTTAACTCTGTGATATCTGTTAACTCCGTGATATCTGCTAACTCTGTGATATCTGTTAACTCTGGGATATCTGTTAACTCTGTGATATTTGTTAACTCTTTGATATATGTTAACTATGTGATATCTGTTAACTTCGGTTAACTCTGTGATATCTAAAAAATATGTGATATCTGTTAACTTCTGTTAACTATTTAATATCTGTTAACTATGTGATATCTGTTAACTTCTCTTAGCTATGTGATATCTGTTAACTATGTGATATCTTAACTGCTGTTAACTATGTGATATCTCTATGTGATATATGTTAACTATGTGATATCTGTTAACTTCTGTAAAGACTGTGATATCTGTTATCTCTGTGATATCTGTTTAACACTGTGACATCTGTTTAACTCTGTAATATCTGTTACCTCTGTAATATCTGTTAACTTCTGTTAATTCTGTGATATCTGTTTAACTCTGTGATATCTTTTAACTCTGTGATATGTGTTTAACTCTGTGATATCTGTTAACTCTGTGATATTTGCTAACTCTGTGATATCTGTTAACTCTGTGATATCTGTTAACTCTGTAATATCTTTTAACTCTGTGATATTTGCTAACTCTGTGATATCTGTTAACTATGTGATATCCGTTAACTATGCGATATGTTAAATATTTGATATCTGTTAATTCTGTGATATCTTTTAACTCTGTGATATCTGTTTAACTCTGTGATATCTGTTAACTTGGTGATATTTGCTAACTCTGTGATATCTGTTATCTCTAAAATATTTATTAACTCTGTGATAACTTTTAACTCTGTGATATCTGTTAACTATGTGATATCTGTTAACTTCGGTTAACTCTGTGATATCTATTAAATATGTGATATCTGTTAACTTCTGTTAACTATTTAATATCTGTTAACTATGTTATATCTGTTCACTATGTGATATCTGTTAACTTCTGTAAAGACTTTGATATCTGTTATCTCAGTGATATCTGTTTAACACTGTGACATCTGTTTAATTCTGAGATATCTGTTACCTCTGTAATATCTGTTAACTTATGTTAATTCTGTGATATCTGTTTAACTCTGTGATATCTGTTAACTCTGTGATATCCGTTAACTCTGTAATATCTTTTAACTCTGTGATATCTTTTAACTCTGTGATATCTGTTAACTTGGTGATATTTGCTAACTCTGTGATATCTGTTAACTCTGTGATATCTGTTGACTCTGTAATATCTTTTAACTCTGTGTTATTTGCTAACTCTGTGATATCTGTTAACTATGTGATATCCGTTAACTATGTGACATGTTAAATATTTGATATCTGTTAATTCTGTGATATCTTTTAACTCTGTGATATCTGTTTAACTCTGTGATATCTGTTAACTCGGTGATATTTGCTAACTCTGTGTTATCTGTTAACTCTGTAATATCTGTTAAATCTATAATATCTTTTAACTCTGTGATATTTGCTAACTCTGTGATATCTGTTAACTCTAAGATATTTATTAACTCTGTGATAACTTTTAACTCTGTGATATCTTTTAACTCTGTGATATCTGTTTAACTCTGTGATATCTGTTAACTTTGTGATATTTGCTAACTCTGTGATATCTGTTAACTCTGTGATATCTGTTAACTCTGTGATATTTGATAACTCTGTGATATCTGTTAACTATGTGATATCTGTTAACTTCGGTTAACTCTGTGATATCTATTAAATATGTGATATCTGTTAACTTCTGTTAACTATTTAATATCTGTTAACTATGTTATATCTGTTCACTATGTGATATCTTAACTGCTGTTAACTATGTGATATCTCTATGTGATATATGTTAACTATGTGATATCTGTTAACTTCTGTAAAGACTTTGATATCTGTTATCTCAGTGATATCTGTTATCTCTGTGATATCTGTTTAACACTGTGACATCTGTTTAACTCTGTAATATCTGTTACCTCTGTAATATCTGTTAACTTCTGTTAATTCTGTGATATCTGTTTAACTCAGTGATATCTTTTAACTCTGTGATATGTGTTTAACTCTGTGATATCTGTTAACTCTGTGATATTTGCTAACTCTGTGATATCTGTTAACTCTGTGATATCTGTTAACTCTGTAATATCTTTTAACTCTGCGTTATTTGCTAACTCTGTGATATCTGTTAACTATGTGATATCCGTTAACTATGCGATATGTTAAATATTTGATATCTGTTAATTCTGTGATATCTTTTAACTCTGTGATATCTGTTTAACTCTGTGATATCTGTTAACTTGGTGATATTTGCTAACTCTGTGATATCTGTTATCTCTAAAATATTTATTAACTCTGTGATAACTTTTAACTCTGTGATATCTGTTAACTATGTGATATCTGTTAACTTCGGTTAACTCTGTGATATCTATTAAATATGTGATATCTGTTAACTTCTGTTAACTATTTAATATCTGTTAACTATGTTATATCTGTTCACTATGTGATATCTGTTAACTTCTGTAAAGACTTTGATATCTGTTATCTCAGTGATATCTGTTTAACACTGTGACATCTGTTTAATTCTGAGATATCTGTTACCTCTGTAATATCTGTTAACTTATGTTAATTCTGTGATATCTGTTTAACTCTGTGATATCTGTTAACTCTGTGATATCCGTTAACTCTGTAATATCTTTTAACTTTGTGATATCTTTTAACTCTGTGATATCTGTTAACTTGGTGATATTTGCTAACTCTGTGATATCTGTTAACTCTGTGATATCTGTTGACTCTGTAATATCTTTTAACTCTGTGTTATTTGCTAACTCTGTGATATCTGTTAACTATGTGATATCCGTTAACTATGTGACATGTTAAATATTTGATATCTGTTAATTCTGTGATATCTTTTAACTCTGTGATATCTGTTTAACTCTGTGATATCTGTTAACTCGGTGATATTTGCTAACTCTGTGTTATCTGTTAACTCTGTAATATCTGTTAAATCTATAATATCTTTTAACTCTGTGATATTTGCTAACTCTGTGATATCTAACTCTGTGATATCTGTTAACTCTGATATTTATTAACTCTGTGATAACTTTTAACTCTGTGATATCTTTTAACTCTGTGATATCTGTTTAACTCTGTGATATCTGTTAACTTTGTGATATTTGCTAACTCTGTGATATCTGTTAACTCTGTGATATCTGTTAACTCTGTGATATTTGATAACTCTGTGATATCTGTTAACTATGTGATATCTGTTAACTTCGGTTAACTCTGTGATATCTATTAAATATGTGATATCTGTTAACTTCTGTTAACTATTTAATATCTGTTAACTATGTTATATCTGTTCACTATGTGATATCTTAACTGCTGTTAACTATGTGATATCTCTATGTGATATATGTTAACTATGTGATATCTGTTAACTTCTGTAAAGACTTTGATATCTGTTATCTCAGTGATATCTGTTTAACACTGTGACATCTGTTTAATTCTGAGATATCTGTTACCTCTGTAATATCTGTTAACTTATGTTAATTCTGTGATATCTGTTTAACTCTGTGATATCTGTTAACTTGGTGATATTTGCTAACTCTGTGATATCTGTTAACTCTGTGATATCTGTTGACTCTGTAATATCTTTTAACTCTGTGTTATTTGCTAACTCTGTGATATCTGTTAACTATGTGATATCCGTTAACTATGTGACATGTTAAATATTTGATATCTGTTAATTCTGTGATATCTGTTAACTCTGTAATATCTGTTAACTCTGTGATATCCGTTTGACTCTGTGATATCTGTTTACTCTGTGATATCTTTTATCTATGTGATATCTGTTAACTCTGTAATATCCGTTTGACTCTGTGATATCTTTTATCTATGTGATATCTATTAACTATGTGATATCTGTTAACTCTGTGACCTCGTGTTATACTTTTGAGTTTACCCAGAGGGGAGGGGACAGACACATATGAGCCTTCTCTGTGATATCTTTTAACTCTGTGATATCTGTTTAACTCTGTGATATCTGTTTACTCTGTGATATCTTTTATCTATGTGATATCTGTTAACTCTAAGATATTTGTTAACTCTGTGATAACTTTTAACTCTGTGATATCTTTTAACTCTGTGATATCTGTTTAACTCTGTGATATCTGTTAACTCGGTGATATTTGCTAACTCTGTGATATCTGTTAACTATGTGATATGTTAGATATTTGATATCTGTTAATTCTGTGATATCTTTTAACTCTGTGATATCTGTTAACTCTGTAATATCTGTTAACTCTGTAATATCTGTTAACTCTGTGATATCCGTTTGCCTCTGTGATATCCGTTTGACTCTGTGATATCTTTTATCTATGTGATATCTATTAACTATGTGATATCTGTTAACTCTGTGACCTCGTGTTATACTTTTGAGTTTACCCAGAGGGGAGGGGACAGACACATATGAGCCTTCTCTGTGATATCTTTTAACTCTGTGATATCTGTTTAACTCTGTGATATCTGTTAACTCAGTGATATTTGCTAACTCTGTGATATCTGTTAACTCTGTGATATCTGTTAACTCTGTAATATCTTTTAACTCTGTGATATTTGCTAACTCTGTGATATCTGTTAACTATGTGATATGTTAGATATTTGATATCTGTTAATTCTGTGATATCTTTTAACTCTGTGATATCTGTTAACTCTGTAATATCTGTTAACTCTGTGATATCCGTTTGACTCTGTGATATCCGTTTGACTCTGTGATATCTGTTAACTCTGTGATATCTATTAACTCTGTGATATCTGTTAACTCTGTGATATCTTTTATCTATGTGATATCTGTTAACTCTGTGATATTTGTTAACTCTGTGATAACTTTTAACTCTGTGATATCTGTTAACTCTGTGATTTCTGTTTACACTGTGATATCTGTTAGTTATGTGATATCTGTTTGATTCTGTAATATTTGTTAACTCTGTGATATCTGTTAACTCTGTGATATCTGTTAACTTCTGTTTACTCTGTGATATCTGTTAACTTCTGTTAACTCTGTGATATCTGTTAATACTGTGATATCTGTTTACAATGTGATATCTGTTAATTATGTGATATCTGTTAATTCTGTGTTATCTTTTAATTCTGTGATATCTGTTAACTATTAAATCTTTAATATTCAAGATATCTGATATATACAAAAATCCATCCACACAGAGATAAGAGGCAGGTATATACAGATATGTTCATGAGCTTACCTCGTGTTATACTTTTGAGTTTACCCAGAGGGGAGGGGACAGACACATATGAGCCTTCCTGCCCTGGCTGAGAGTAGTCCCCACAAGCAGATTCATCCTGGGGCCGTTTATGGTGTTTCAGAAGTGTCACTATGTCATCATGTCCTGCCAAACCAGGCAGAAATATTCAGAATTTATTCTTTCTATTTATAAGAAAGTAAAAATAAACTGAACAGATGAACATGTTAAGCTATACAACCGTGTGAACATAAAGTAAATCTCTGTTCGTGAGAGACCTTGTATACAAGCTGTTTTATTTTGTTTTGACATAAACGACCATATACCCTCTTTCTACTATGTCAGGGATATGATTAGAGCAAGTTATCCTATCATGGAACAAGATAGAAGTTTCAATGTAAAGAATATTCCCAAAAATGATATTTTCATGGCAAATGTTTTGAAACAATTCGATAGCACAATATAAAACATGTAAAGAGATTATATTCCTGTGACCTCTGACCTTGTTCGTACGCCCACATCAGTGCTGTTTGCTCCTCCACCTTCTCACTGCCTGAGGTCTGGTCAGTCATGGTGGCAACAAGATTCATATCGGCCCGGCACTCCAATAAAAACTGAACAACACGGATGTGACCATGGTAACAGGCACTGTGTAAACCTGTAATACAAGACAATACAAAAATACACTACTTGGGTACCTCAAAATACATATTACTAACAGAGGAATACCTCAAAAATATATACCACACAGAGATACAACACTGGGGTACCTCAGAATACATATCACACAGGGATACCTCAAAAATATATACCACACAGAGATACAACACTGGGGTACCTCAGAATACATATCACACAGGGATACCTCAAAAATATATACCACACAGAGATACTTTAGAAATACAACACTGGGGTACCTCAGAATACATATCACACAAGGATACCTCAAAAATATATACCACACAAGAGATACAACACTGGGGTACCTCAGAATACATATCACACAGGGATACCTCAAAAATATATACCACACAGAGATACTTTAGAAATACAACACTGGGGTACCTCAGAATACAACACACTCAGAATACATATCACACAAGGATACCTCAAAAATATATACCACACAGAGATACAACACTGGGGTACCTCAGAATACATATCACACAGGGATACCTCAAAAATATATACCACACAGAGATACTTTAGAAATACAACACTGAGGTACCTCAGAATACATATCATACAAGGATACCTCAAAAATATATACCACACAGAGATATAACACCGGGGTACCTCAGAATACATATCATACAGGGATACCTCAAAAATATATACCACACAGAGATACAACACTGGGGTACCTCAGAATACATATCACACAAGGATACCTCAAAAATATATACCACACAGAGATACTTTAGAAATACAACACTGGGGTACCTCAGAATACATATCATACAAGGATACCTCAAAAATATATACCACACAGAGATATAACACTGGGGTACCTCAGAATACATATCATACAGGGATACCTCAAAAATATATATCACACAGAGATACAACACTGGGGTACCTCAGAATACATATCACACAAGGATACCTCAAAAATATATACCACACAGAGATATAACACTGGGGTACCTCAGAATACATATCACACAAGGATACCTCAAAAACATATACCACACAGAGATATAACACTGAGGTACCTCAGAATACATATCACACAAGGATACCTCATAAATATATACCACACAGAGATACTTTAGAAATACAGCACTGGGGTACCTCAGAATACATATCACACAAGGATACCTCAAAAATATATACCACACAATACACACCAAAGTTACAATACTATGCTAATACACACCAAAGTTACGATATTATGTTAATACGCACCAAAGTTACAATATTATGTTAATACACACCAAAGTTACATTATGTTAATACACACCAAAGTCATAATATTATGTTAATACATACCAAAGTTACAATATTATGTTAATACACCCCGAAGTTACAATATTATGTCAATACACACCAAAGTCATCATATTATGTTAATACATACCAAAGTCATAATATTATGTTAATACATACCAAAGTTACAATATTATGTTAATACACCCCAAAGTTACAATATTATGTCAATACACACCAAAGTCATCATATTATGTTAATACATACCAAAGTTACAATATCATGTTAATACACACCAAAGTTACAATATCATTTTAATACACACCAAAGTTACAATATCATGTTAATACACACCAAAGTTACAATATCATGTTAATACACACCAAAGTTACAATATCATTTTAATACACACCAAAGTTACAATATCATGTTAATACACACCAAAGTTACAATATCATGTAAATACACACCAAAGTTACAATATCATGTTAATACACACCAAAGTCACAATATCATGTTAATACACACCAAAGTTACAATATCATGTTAATACACACCAAAGTTACAATATCATGTTAATACACACCAAAGTTACAATATCATGTTACAATATTATGTTAATACACACCAAAGTTACAATATCATGTTAATACACACCAAAGTTACAGTATCATGTTAATACACACCAAAGTTACAATATCATGTTAATACACACCAAAGTTACAATATCATGTTAATACACACCAAAGTTACAATATCATGTTAATACACACCAAAGTTACAATATCATGTTAATACACACCAAAGTTACAATATCATGTTAATACACACCAAAGTTACAATATCATGTTAATACACACCAAAGTTACAATATCATGTTAATACACACCAAAGTTACAATATCATGTTAATACACACCAAAGTTACAATATCATGTTAATACACACCAAAGTTACAATATCATGTTAATACACACCAAAGTTACAATATCATGTTAATACACACCAAAGTTACAATATCATGTTAATACACACCAAAGTTACAATATCATGTTAATACACACCAAAGTTACAATATCATGTTAATACACACCAAAGTTACAATATTATGTTAATACACACCAAAGTAATACGCACCAAAGTTACAATATCATGTTAATACACACCAAAGTTACAATATCATGTTAATACACACCAAAGTTACAATATCATGTTAATACACACCAAAGTTACAATATCATGTTAATACACACCAAAGTTACAATATCATGTTAATACACACCAAAGTTACAATATCATGTTAATACACACCAAAGTTACAATATCATGTTAATACACACCAAAGTTACAATATCATGTTAATACACACCAAAGTTACAATATCATGTTAATACACACCAAAGTTACAATATTATGTTAATACACGCCAAAGTTACAATATCATGTTAATACACACCAAAGTTACAAATATCATGTTAATACACACCAAAGTTACAATATCATTTTAATACACACCAAAGTTACAATATCATGTTAATACACACCAAAGTTACAATATCATGTTAATACACACCAAAGTTACAATATCATGTTAATACACACCAAAGTTACAATATCATGTTAATACACACCAAAGTTACAATATCATGTTAATACACACCAAAGTTACAATATCATGTTAATACACACCAAAGTTACAATATCATGTTAATACACACCAAAGTTACAATATCATGTTAATACACACCAAAGTTACAATATCATGTTAATACACACCAAAGTTACAATATCATGTTAAAACACACCAAAGTTACAATATCATGTTAATACACACCAAAGTTACAATATCATGTTAATACACACCAAAGTTACAATATCATGTTAATACACACCAAAGTTACAATATCATGTTAATACACACCAAAGTTACAATGTTATCATGTTAATACACACCAAAGTTACAATATCATGTTAATACACACCAAAGTTACAATATCATGTTAATACACACCAAAGTTACAATATCATGTTAATACACACCAAAGTTACAATATCATGTTAATACACACCAAAGTTACAATATCATGTTAATACACACCAAAGTTACAATATCATGTTAATACACACCAAAGTTACAATATTATGTTAATACACACCAAAGTTACAATATCATGTTAATACACACCAAAGTTACAATATCATGTTAATACACACCAAAGTTACAATATCATGTTAATACACACCAAAGTTACAATATCATGTTAATGTTACAATATAATACACACCAAAGTTACAATATTATGTTAATACACACCAAAGTTACAATATTATGTTAATACACACCAAAGTAATACACACCAAAGTTACAATATCATGTTAATACACACCAAAGTTATAATATCATGTTAATACACACCAAAGTTACAATATCATGTTAATACACACCAAAGTTACAATATCATGTTAATACACACCAAAGTTTCAATATCATGTTAATACACACCAAAGTTACAATATCATGTTAATACACACCAAAGTTACAATATCATGTTAATACACACCAAAGTTACAATATCATGTTAATACACACCAAAGTTACAATATCATGTTAATACACACCAAAGTTACAATATCATGTTAATACACACCAAAGTTACAATATTATGTTAATACACACCAAAGTTACAATATTATGTTAATACACACCAAAGTAATACACACCAAAGTTACAATATCATGTTAATACACACCAAAGTTACAATATCATGTTAATACACACCAAAGTTACAATATCATGTTAATACACACCAAAGTTACAATATCATGTTAATACACACCAAAGTTACAATATCATGTTAATACACACCAAAGTTACAATATCATGTTAATACACACCAAAGTTTCAATATCATGTTAATACACACCAAAGTTACAATATCATGTTAATACACACCAAAGTTACAATATCATGTTAATACACACCAAAGTTACAATATCATGTTAATACACACCAAAGTTACAATATCATGTTAATACACACCAAAGTTACAATATCATGTTAATACACACGAAAGTTTCAATATTATGTTAATACACACCAAAGTTACAATATTATGTTAATACACACCAAAGTTACAATATCATGTTAATACACACCCAAGTTACAATATCATGTTAATACACACCAAAGTCATACACACCAAAGTTACAATATCATGTTAATACACACCAAAGTTACAATATCATGTTAATACACACCAAAGTTACAATATCATGTTAATACACACCAAAGTTACAATATTATGTTAATACACACCAAAGTTATAATATGATATCAACTTCACAGTGAAAAAAAAAATCAAAATCTATCTATCATAATTTCCCCTTATTTGTCACGGATATCTAACTGAAATTTTTATTTTTTTTTTATTTTTCTAAGTTCACATAATACGATACAATAGTACAAGTAGAATATTCATGATTGATGTCAACTCTTACATAGGTATAAGTTATTAATACACTTGTCAAACATGATATATATATTTTAAAATTAATTTCTTATATACATCTACTGATCGAGATTCAGTGCTGTGGTGTTAGATCTCCATTTTTCTCTGATATAGCCGGCCTTTGTCTGGGTATAAAAAACCGCATTCTGAATGTCAGTCTGCTTATAATATAATAACATTGATTTGACTCCATCAATAGATGGAATAGTATTTTTTTCATTTGCAGGTATAAATATATTTTTTACTGGTAGAATGCAAAAATTTATATCATCAAATTGAGGATCATTATTACAGCCTAAAAGGACAAAAGGACAAGTCATATGAAATACTACATTTGATTAGACTCAAAGCTGTTGTTTAAGGATTCCCATAGGAAGCGAGAAAAGGGGCATTCCCAGAAAAGATGTTCAAGTGTTTCTCTATTAGCCAAACAGAAAGTACAAAGCCCAGTTTCCACGATTTTCAGGATCAGAAGTCTAGAATTCGTATATAAAATTCTATCTATGAAGCAGCTTAAATTGAAAGGTTTGTATATTTGTATTTCAGTTAATAAAAACGGTGCCTTGTATATAGACTTCCAATCTTCTCTATTAAATGCAGTTTCTAATTTTTCATTCCATTTTTCTAAACTTTTAACTGGAAATTCCTGATGATCCATGATAAAAAGATTACAGAAACATTTCGCACCTTTTTCATTTGACTTAAAAAGAGAAACTAATTTGCATTCAATGTTAGTCATTTTTTCACCATTATGGATGATATTTTGTTTCCAATTCCTCGGAATAGCTGAGAGTAGCCCTTGATAAGTAATTATATTAGTATTTTTATAGTACTTCTGCTTAAAGTCTTCAAAAGAAAGGAATTCTTCATTTTCATTTAATAAATCATTTATGAAAAACACATCATGCTCTATCCACTTATAATATATGACATGCTTATTATTTATTTGTATTTTTTCATTTAGCCATAATGGCTGGGATAATAGATCATTTAATGCCAATCTTATCTCTATGGATTTAGCTAATATATTTCACCCCAACAAATTCAACTGTATTTATGATTTCTTAACTACCTGTATCCCTGACTCACCCTTACAGATGTGTATTTGTTTACCTGTGTGACAAAAAAACCCTTACAGATGTATATTTGTTTAACTGTGTGACTGACTCACCCTTACAGATGTATATTTGTTTACCTGTGTGACTGACTCACTCTTACAGATGTATATTTGTTTACCTGTGTGACTGACTCACTCTTACAGATGTATATTTGTTTACCTGTGTGACTGACTCACTCTTACAGATGTATATTTGTTTACCTGTGTGACTGACTCACTCTTACAGATGTATATTTGTTTACCTGTGTGACTGACTCACCCTTATGGATGTATATTTGTTTACCTGTGTGACTGACTCACTCTCACAGATGTATATTTGTTTACCTGTGTGACTGACTCACCCTTATGGATGTATATTTGTTTACCTGTGTGACTGACTCACTCTCACAGATGTATATTTGTTTACCTGTGTGACTGACTCACTCTTACAGATGTATATTTGTTTACCTGTGTGACTGACTCACTCTTACAGATGTATATTTGTTTACCTGTGTGACTGACTCACTCTCACAGATGTATATTTGTTTACCTGTGTGACTGACTCACTCTCACAGATGTATATTTGTTTACCTGTGTGACTGACTCACTCTCACAGATGTATATTTGTTTACCTGTGTGACTGACTCACTCTCACAGATGTATATTTGTTTACCTGTGTGACTGACTCACTCTTACAGATGTATATTTGTTTACCTGTGTGACTGACTCACTCTTACAGATGTATATTTGTTTACCTGTGTGACTGACTCACTCTTACAGATGTATATTTGTTTACCTGTGTGACTGACTCACTCTTACAGATGTATATTTGTTTACCTGTGTGTCCATCTCTTCCCTGCTGGTTGATATTCACGCTTGACTGCTCCAAAAGATATTTGATCAGTTCGAGACTGCGACCACTTGTACAAGCACTGTAATGAGGTAAAACATCTTACATTATAGACACTGTTTACTACAATTACAGGCATCTATAACTTCAAATCCACATGAAAAACTTGTACAGGACAATGTACTGACTATTCCTTTTAGCTTCATTGAAATCATGCTGCGAAGTTATATAACAAGATGCCCATAGGGCCTTTACTGCTCAACATATGAGGTTTGGTCACAACTAAAGGAGAAAGATTTTGAATGTCAATCTGTATTTCTTTGATTAAATTGTATCCATCTGCCCATTGAGGTCAGATCCACTGTTTACACAACATCGATTCCCTCTTTACCCAAGGATGCTCTACACCAAATTTAATCAAAATACATGTTCCTTCGCTCAAGGAGTCAGATCAATTGCATGAAAGACTGTCATAGTGAGTTTCCTTCACCTAAGGATTGCCATATACCATATAGATAAAATAAGGTTGACTTTCCTTCACATAAGGATTGCCATATACCATATAGATAAAATAAGGATTGCCATATACCATATAGATAAAATAAGGATTGCCATATACCATATAGATAAAATAAGGATTGCCATATACCATATAGATAAAATAAGGATTGCCATATACCATATAAATAAAATAAGGTTGACTTTCCTTTAAGACACTTATGATAAAATTTAACACAAAAAAATCTTCATATCAAGAGGAAATAAAATGCTTTCCTGTGTATTCCCTACTTCACCCATATGACCATGGCCATTTGACTCTGAGGAGTCAGACCCACTGTTAACATGTATATACTTGTTTGTTAATGTGTGTTTATCTTTCATGCCATCACATATCCTCAATTCCTGTAAAACTAAATAACTATTGCCAATGTCATATCATATGTCAATAGAATATGTTTGAAGTTAACTACATACATACAAAATTCAATCTCCTTTGCCGAAGTGTGCTTCACACAAAATACTATTATTCCTATAGAAAAAGCTGAATTTTCAAGAATATGATAATTTTCCCTACTGGAAATGTCTCTCAGGCTACCTTAGGTTGTAGACAAAATTAGTTCCCCTTTCTACAGTGTTGTTTGAACCAAATCTGGTCAAAGTCTTCTCAATTGTGTAAGACAACAAATGCTATGATATCAGCTTACTTATCCCCTTGGGAAAACTGGATTAGTGATAGGTAGATAGTAGGACAACTGGATTAGTGATAGGTAGATAGTAGGACAACTGGATTAGAGATGGATAGATAGTAGGACAACTGGATTAGTGATAGGTAGATAGTAGGACAACTGGATTAGTGATGGCTGGATAGTAGGACAACTGGATTAGTGATAGGTAGATAGTAGGACAACTGGATTAGTGATAGATAGATAGTAGGACAACTGGATTAGTGATAGGTAGATAGTAGGACAACTGGATTAGAGATGGATAGATAGTAGGACAACTGGATTAGTGATAGGTAGATAGTAGGACAACTGGATTAGTGATGGCTGGATAGTAGGACAACTGGATTAGTGATAGGTAGATAGTAGGACAACTGGATTAGTGATAGGTAGATAGTAGGACAACTGGATTAGTGATAGGTAGATAGTAGGACAACTGGATTAGTGATAGGTAGGACAACTGGATTAGTGATAGGTAGATAATAGGACAACTGGATTAGTGATAGGTAGATAGTAGGACAACTGGATTAGTGATAGGTAGATAGTAGGACAACTGGATTAGTGATAGGTAGATAGTAGGACAACTGGATTAGTGATAGGTAGATAGAAGGACAACTGGATTAGAGATGGATAGATTGTAGGACAACTGGATTAGTGATAGGTAGATAGCAGGACAACTGGATTAGTGATGGCTGGATAGTAGGACAACTGGATTAGTGATAGGTAGATAGTAGGACAACTGGATTAGAGATGGATAGATAGTAGGACAACTGGATTAGTGATAGGTAGATAGTAGGACAACTGGATTAGTGATGGTGATAGTAGGCTAGGATAGTAGGACAACTGGATTAGTGATGGCTGGATAGTAGGACAACTGGATTAGTGATAGGTAGATAATAGGACAACTGGATTAGTGATAGGTAGATAGTAGGACAACTGGATTAGTAGGACAACTGGATAGCGATGGCTTCATAGTAGGACAACTGGATTAGTGATGGCTTGATAGTAGGACAACTGGATTAGTGATAGGTAGATAGTAGGACAACTGGATTAGTGATAGGTAGATAGTAGGACAACTGGATTAGAGATAGGTAGATAGTAGGACAACTGGATTAGTGATAGGTAGATAGTAGGACAACTGGATTAGTAGATAGGACAACTGGATTAGTGATAGGTAGATAGTAGGACAACTGGATTAGATGGATAGGTAGATTATGATAGGTAGGAGGACAACTGGATTAGTGATGGCTGGATAGTAGGACAACTGGATTAGTGATGGATAGATAGTAGGACAACTGTAGATAGTAGGACAACTGGATTAGAGATGGATAGATAGTAGGACAACTGGATTAGTGATAGATAGATAGTAGGACAACTGGATTAATGATAGGTAGATAGTAGGACAACTGGATTAGTGATGGCTGGATAGTAGGACAACTGGATTAGTGATAGGTAGATAGTAGGACAACTGGATTAGCGATGGCTGAATAGTAGGACAACTGGATTAGTGATGGCTGGATAGTATGACAACTGGATTAGTGATAGGTAGATAGTAGGACAACTGGATTAGTGATAGGTAGATAGTAGGACAACTGGATTAGAGATGGATAGATAGTAGGACAACTGGATTAGTGATAGGTAGATAGTAGGACAACTGGATTAGAGATGGATAGATAGTAGGACAACTGGATTAGTGATAGGTAGATTGCAGGACAACTGGATTAGTGATGGCTGGATAGTAGGACAACTGGATTAGTGATAGGTAGATAGTAGGACAACTGGATTAGTGATAGGTAGATAGTAGGACAACTGGATTAGTGATAGGTAGATAGCAGGACAACTGGATTAGAGATGGATAGATTGTAGGACAACTGGATTAGTGATAGGTAGATAGTAGGACAACTGGATTAGTGATAGGTAGATAGTAGGACAACTGGATTAGTGATAGTAGGACAACTGGATTAGTGATGGCTGGATAGTAGGACAACTGGATTAGTGATAGGTAGATAATAGGACAACTGGATTAGTGATAGGTAGATAGTAGGACAACTGGATTAGTGATAGGTAGATAATAGGACAACTGGATTAGTGATGGCTGGATAGTAGGACAACTGGATTAGTGATAGGTAGATAGTAGGACAACTGGATTAGTGATGGCTGGATAGTAGGACAACTGGATTAGTGATAGGTAGATAGTAGGACAACTGGATTAGTGATGGCTGGATAGTAGGACAACTGGATTAGTGATGATGGACAACTGGATTAGTGATAGGGATAGTAGGTAGGACAACTGGATTAGTTAGTGATAGGTAGATAGATAGTAGGACAACTGGATTAGAGATGGATAGATAGTAGGACAACTGGATTAGTGATGGCTGGATAATAGGACAACTGGATTAGTGATGGATAGATAGTAGGGCAACTGGATTAGTGAAGGATAGATAGTAGGACAACTGCATTAGTGATATGTAGATAGTAGGACAACTGGATTAGAGATGGATAGATAGTAGGACAACTGGATTAGTGATAGGTAGATAGTAGGACAACTGGATTAGTGATGGCTGGATAGTAGGACAACTGGATTAGTGATGGCTGGATAGTAGGACAACTGGATTAGTGATAGGTAGATAGTAGGACAACTGGATTAGTGATGGCTGGATAGTAGGACAAGTGGATTAGTGATAGGTAGATAGTAGGACAACTGGATTAGTGATAGGTAGATAGTAGGACAACTGGATTAGTGATGGCTGAATAGTAGGACAACTGGATTAGTGATGGCTGGATAGTAGGACAACTGGATTAATGATAGGTAGATAGTAGGACAACTGGATTAGTGATAGGTAGATAGTAGGACAACTGGATTAGAGATGGATAGATAGTAGGACAACTGGATTAGTGATGGCTGGATAATAGGACAACTGGATTAGTGATGGATAGATAGTAGGACAACTGGATTAGTGTCTGGAATTAATTATGGTTAGATAGCAGTACAACTGGTTTCTGATTTAAAAAATATGGTCTCTTTACCATACTTAACTTGTTCCAAACTAAATCTCAGTACATACCTGTGTAGAGGAAACTCACTGAAAATATTCTCTACAGTCAGACTCTCCGCACTGGTCAGTGCTACCAGTTGCTTGACCACTTCTACCTTGGCATTGTAGCAAGCTCTACAAGAAATATTCATCATTTTGATAAAAGAAATACCTTTTTAACATTTAATATCCATTAAAATACATACATGTTTAAGCAATGCTAGAGATGGTTAGATGATGAGTAGAGCAAGTGGCATATAACCTAGGTACTTCAGCAATCTACCCAGTGGTGTACAGTTTAGACAGAGTACACTGTACATCATCTACCCAGTGATGTATGGTTTAGACAGAGTACACTGTACATTATCTACCCAGTGATGTACAGTTTAGACAGAGTACACTGTACATTATCTACCCAGTGATGTATGGTTTAGACAGAGTACACTGTACATTATCTACCCAGTGGTGTACATTGTACATTATCTACCCAGTGGTGTACAGTTTAGACAGAGTACACTGTACATTATCTACCCAGTGGTGTACAGTTTAGACAGAGTACATTGTACATTATCTACCCAGTGGTGTACAGTTTAGACAGAGTACACTGTACATTATCTAACCAGTGGTGTACAGTTTTGACAGAGTACACTGTACATTATCTACCCAGTGATGTATGGTTTAGACAGAGTACACTGTACATTATCTACAGAATCATCTACAACCATCCTATTTAAATCTTTATACATACAAATGAAGAGGTGTATCTCCATAGATGTTTCTAGCATGTGGCTCAGCCTTGTTTTCCAGCAGATAGTACAGAACAGCCAAGTGACCGGACTTGCAACAGAAATGGATTGGTCGGTGCTGTTCATCATCTGTAACATTGACTGTAACAAAGGCATCAATAAGTAACATTGACTGTAACAAAGGCATCAATAAGTAACATTGACTGTAACAAAGGCATCAATAAGTAACATTGACTGTAACAAAGGCATCAATAAGTAACATTGACTGTAACAAAGGCATCAATAAGTAACATTTTCTTTATGTTGATTGATGTCTACACATGGTATTCTTCTAGCCCCCTGAAACATGTGTTTCTAATTTGGTAATAATAATAGGAGTTAGACGATAAGACACACCATCAGTCTTCAGCTCTGAGGTATATACAGTTAGACAATAACACTCACCATCAGCTCTGAGGTATATACAGTTAGACAATAAGACTCACCATCAGCTCTGAAGTATATACAGTTAGACAATAAGACTCACCATCAGCTTGGAGGTATATACAGTTAGACAATAAGACTCACCATCAGCTCTGAGGTATATACAATTAGACAATAAGACTCACCATCAGCTTGTAGGTAAATACAGTTAGACAATAAGACTCACCATCAGCTTGGAGGTATATACAGTTAGACAATAAGACTCACCATCAGCTTGGAGGTATATACAGTTAGACAATAAGACTCACCATCAGCTTGGAGGTAAATACAGTTAGACAATAAGACTCACCATCAGCTCTGAGGTATATACAGTTAGACAATAAGACTCACCATCAGCTTGGAGGTAAATACAGTTAGACAATAAGACTCACCATCAGCTTGGAGGTATATACAGTTAGACAATAACACTGACCATCAGCTTGGAGGTATACACAGTTAGACAATAAGACTCACCATCAGCTCTGAGGTATATACAGTTAGACAATAAGACTGACCATCAGCTTGGAGGTATATACAGTTAGTCAATAAGACTGACCATCAGCTTGGAGGTATACACAGTTAGACAATAAGACTCACCATCAGCTTGGAGGTAAATACAGTTAGACAATAACTCACCATCAGCTTGGAGGTATATACAATTAGACAATAAGACTGACCATCAGCTTGGAGGTAAATACAGTTAGACAATAAGACTCACCATCAGCTTGGAGGTAAATACAGTTAGACAATAACTCACCATCAGCTTGGAGGTATATAAAGTTAGACGATAAGACTCACCATCAGCTCTGAGATATATACAGTTAGACAATAAGACTCACCATCAGCTTGGAGGTATATACAGTTAGACAATAACACTCACCATCAGCTTGGAGGTATATACAATTAGACAATAAGACTCATCATCAGCTCTAAGGTATATACAGTTAGACAATAAGACTCACCATCAGCTTGGAGGTAAATACAGTTAGACAATAACTCACCATCAGCTTGGAGGTATATAAAGTTAGACAATAAGACTCACCATCAGCTCTAAGGTATATACAGTTAGACAATAAGACTCACCATCAGCTTGGAGGTAAATACAGTTAGACAATAAGACTCACCATCAGCTCTGAGGTATATACAATTAGACAATAACACTGACCATCAGCTTGGAGGTATACACAGTTAGACAATAAGACTCACCATCAGCTTGGAGGTATATACAGTTAGACAATAAGACTCACCATCAGCTTGGAGGTATATAAAGTTAGACAATAAGACTCACCATCAGCTTGGAGGTAAAAAAACAGTTAGTCAATAAGACTGACCATCAGCTCTGAGGTATATACAGTTAGACAATAACACTCACCATCAGCTTGGAGGTATATACAGTTAGACAATAAGACTCTCCATCAGCTCTGAGGTATATACAGTTAGACAATAAGACTCATCCTTGGAGGTATACAGTTAGACAATAAGACTCACCATCAGCTCTGAGGTATATACAGTTAGACAATAACACTCACCATCAGCTCTGAGGTATATACAGTTAGACAATAAGACTCACCATCAGCTTGGAGGTATATACAGTTAGACAATAAGACTCACCATCAGCTTGGAGGTAAATACAGTTAGACAATAAGACTCACCATCAGCTTGGAGGTATATACAGTTAGACAATAAGACTCACCATCAGCTTGGAGGTATATACAGTTAGTCAATAAGACTCACCATCAGCTTGGAGGTAAATACTCACCATCAGCTTGGAGGTATATACAATTAGACAATAAGACTCACCATCAGCTCTGAGGTATATACAGTTAGACAATAAGACTCACCATCAGCTTGGAGGTAAATACAGTTAGACAATAAGACTCACCATCAGCTCTGAGGTATATACAATTAGACAATAAGACTCACCATCAGCTTGTAGGTAAATACAGTTAGACAATAAGACTCACCATCAGCTTGGAGGTAAATACAGTTAGACAATAAGACTCACCATCAGCTTGGAGGTATATACAATTAGACAATAAGACTCACCATCAGCTCTGAGGTATATACAGTTAGACAATAAGACTCTCCATCAGCTTGGAGGTAAATACAGTTAGAAATACAGTTAGACAATAAGACTCACCATCAGCTCTGAGGTATATACAGTTAGACAATAACACTGACCATCAGCTTGGAGGTATACACAGTTAGACAATAAGACTCACCATCAGCTCTGAGGTATATACAGTTAGACAATAAGACTGACCATCAGCTTGGAGGTATATACAGTTAGACAATAAGACTCACCATCAGCTTGGAGGTATAAACAGTTAGACAATAAGACTCACCATCAGCTTGGAGGTAAATACAGTTAGACAATAAGACTGACCATCAGCTTGGAGGTATATACAGTTAGACAATAAGACTCACCATCAGCTTGGAGGTATATACAGTTAGTCAATAAGACTCACCATCAGCTTGGAGGTATATACAGTTAGACAATAAGACTGACCATCAGCTCTGAGGTATATACAGTTAGACAATAAGACTCACCATCAGCTTGGAGGTAAATACAGTATATATCAGCTTAGGTATATACAATTAGACAATAAGACTCACCATCAGCTTGTAGGTATATACAGTTAGACAATAAGACTCACCATCAGCTTGGAGGTAAATACAGTTAGACAATAAGACTCACCATCAGCTTGGAGGTATATAAAGTTAGACAATAAGACTCACCATCAGCTCTAAGGTATATACAGTTAGACAATAAGACTCACCATCAGCTTGGAGGTATAAGACTCACCATCAGCTTGAGTATATACAATTAGACAATAAGACTCACCATCAATAAGACTCACCTTGGAGGTAAATACAGTTAGACAATAAGACTCACCATCAGCTCTGAGGTATATACAATTAGACAATAAGACTCACCATCAGCTTGTAGGTATATACAGTTAGACAATAAGACTCACCATCAGCTTGGAGGTAAATACAGTTAGACAATAACTCACCATCAGCTTGGAGGTATATAAAGTTAGACAATAAGACTCACCATCAGCTCTAAGGTATATACAGTTAGACAATAAGACTCACCATCAGCTTGGAGGTAAATACAGTTAGACAATAAGACTCACCATCAGCTCTGAGGTATATACAATTAGACAATAAGACTCACCATCAGCTTGTAGGTAAATACAGTTAGACAATAAGACTCACCATCAGCTTGGAGGTATATACAGTTAGACAATAAGACTCACCATCAGCTTGGAGGTATATACAGTTAGTCAATAAGACTGACCATCAGCTTGGAGGTATATACAGTTAGACAATAAGACTCACCATCAGCTTGGAGGTAAATACAGTTAGACAATAAGACTCACCATCAGCTCTGAGGTATATACAGTTAGACAATAAGACTCACCATCAGCTTGGAGGTAAATACAGTTAGACAATAAGACTCACCATCAGCTTGGAGGTATATACAGTTAGACAATAACACTGACCATCAGCTTGGAGGTATACACAGTTAGACAATAAGACTCACCATCAGCTCTGAGGTATATACAGTTAGACAATAAGACTCACCATCAGCTTGGAGGTAAATACAGTTAGACAATAAGACTCACCATCAGCTTGGAGGTATATACAGTTAGACAATAACACTGACCATCAGCTTGGAGGTATACACAGTTAGACAATAAGACTCACCATCAGCTCTGAGGTATATACAGTTAGACAATAAGACTGACCATCAGCTTGGAGGTATATACAATTAGACAATAAGACTGACCATCAGCTTGGAGGTATATACAGTTAGACAATAAGACTCACCATCAGCTTGGAGGTATATAAAGTTAGACAATAAGACTCACCATCAGCTTGGAGGTAAAAAAACAGTTAGACAATAAAACTCACCATCAGCTTGGAGGTAAATACAGTTAGACAATAAGACTCACCATCAGCTTGGAGGTAAATACAGTTAGACAATAACTCACCATCAGCTTGGAGGTATATAAAGTTAGACAATAAGACTCACCATCAGCTTGGAGGTAAAAAAACAGTTAGACAATAAAACTCACCATCAGCTTGGAGGTAAATACAGTTAGACAATAACACTCGCCATCAGCTCGGAGGTATATACAGTTAGACAATAACACTCACCATCAGCTCTGAGGTATATAAAGTTAGACAATAAGACTGACCATCAGCTCTGAGGTATATACAGTTAGACAATAAGACTCACCATCAGCTTGGAGGTAAAAAAACAGTTAGACAATAAGACTCACCATCAGCTTGGAGGTAAATACAGTTAGACAATAAGCTTGAGGTATATACAGTTAGACAATAAGACTGACCATCAGCTTGGAGGTAAATACAGTTAGACAATAAGACTCACCATCAGCTTGGAGGTAAATACAGTTAGACAATAAGACTCACCATCAGCTTGGAGGTATATACAATTAGACAATAAGACTCACCATCAGCTCTGAGGTATATACAGTTAGACAATAAGACTCACCATCAGCTCTGAGGTATATACAGTTAGACAATAAGACTCACCATCAGCTTGGAGGTAAATACAGTTAGACAATAACACTCACCATCAGCTCTGAGGTATATACAGTTAGACAATAAGACTCACCATCAGCTTGGAGGTATATACAGTTAGACAATAAGACTCACCATCAGCTTGGAGGTAAATACAGTTAGACAATAAGACTCACCATCAGCTTGGAGGTATATACAATTAGACAATAAGACTCACCATCAGCTCTGAGGTATATACAGTTAGACAATAAGACTCTCCATCAGCTTGGAGGTATATAAAGTTAGACTATAACACTCACCATCAGCTTGGAGGTAAATACAGTTAGACAATAAGACTCACCATCAGCTCTGAGGTATATACAGTTAGACAATAAGACTCACCATCAGCTTGGAGGTATATAAAGTTAGACAATAAGACTCACCATCAGCTTGGAGGTATATAAAGTAAGACTATAACACTCACCATCAGCTTGGAGGTATATAAAGTTAGACTATAACACTCACCATCAGCTTGGAGGTAAATACAGTTAGATAATAAGACTCACCATCAGCTTGGAGGTATATACAATTAGACAATAAGACTCACCATCAGCTCTGAGGTATATACAGTTAGACAATAAGACTCACCATCAGCTTGGAGGTATATAAAGTTAGACTATAACACTCACCATCAGCTTGGAGGTAAATACAGTTAGACAATAACACTCACCATCAGCTTGGAGGTATATACAATTAGACAATAACACTCACCATCAGCTCTGAGGTATATACAGTTAGACAATAAGACTCACCATCAGCTTGGAGGTATATAAAGTTAGACAATAAGACTCTCCATCAGCTCTGAGGTATATACAGTTAGACAATAACACTCACCATCAGCTTGGAGGTATATACAGTTAGACAATAAGACTGACCATCAGCTTGGAGGTATATACAATTAGACAATAAGACTCACCATCAGCTCTGAAGTATATACAGTTAGACAATAAGACTCACCATCAGCTTGGAGGTATATAAAGTTAGACAATAAGACTCTCCATCAGCTCTGAGGTATATACAGTTAGACAATAACACTCACCATCAGCTTGGAGGTATATACAGTTAGACAATAAGACTCACCATCAGCTTGGAGGTAAATACAGTTAGACAATAACACTCACCATCAGCTCTGAGGTATATACAGTTAGACAATAACACTCACCATCAGCTTGGAGGTATATACAGTTAGACAATAACACTCACCATCAGCTCTGAGGTATATACAGTTAGACAATAACACTCACCATCAGCTTGGAGGTAAATACAGTTAGACAATAAGACTCACCATCAGCTTGGAGGTATATAAAGTTAGACTATAACACTCACCATCAGCTTGGAGGTAAATACAGTTAGACAATAAGACTCACCATCAGCTTGGAGGTATATACAGTTAGTCAATAAGACTGACCATCAGCTTGGAGGTATATACAGTTAGACAATAAGACTCACCATCAGCTCTGAGGTATATACAGTTAGACAATAAGACTCACCATCAGCTTGGAGGTAAATACAGTTAGACCATAACTCACCATCAGCTTGGAGGTATATAAAGTTAGACAATAAGACTCACCATCAGCTCTGAGGTATATACAGTTAGACAATAAGACTCACCATCAGCTTGGAGGTAAAAAAACAGTTAGACAATAAGACTCACCATCAGCTCTGAGGTATATACAGTTAGATAATAAGACTCACCATCAGCTCTGAGGTATATACAGTTAGACAATAAGACTCACCATCAGCTTGGAGGTATATAAAGTTAGACTATAACACTCACCATCAGCTTGGAGGTAAATACAGTTAGACAATAAGACTCACCATCAGCTTGGAGGTATATACAATTAGACAATAAGACTCACCATCAGCTCTGAGGTATATACAGTTAGACAATAAGACTCACCATCAGCTTGGAGGTATATAAAGTTAGACAATAAGACTCACCATTAGCTTGGAGGTAAATACAGTTAGACAATAAGACTCACCATCAGCTCTGAGATATATACAGTTAGACAATAAGACTCACCATCAGCTTGGAGGTATATACAGTTAGACAATAACACTCACCATCAGCTTGGAGGTATATACAATTAGACAATAAGACTCACCATCAGCTCTGAGATATATACAGTTAGACAATAACACTCACCATCAGCTTGGGGTATATACAGTTAGACAATAACACTCACCATCAGCTTTTTGCTGGGTGGTACCCTCTACTAGCAGTTTGGTGATATGAAGGTGACCCTTGGCACAAGCCAGATGTAGAGGTCTGTCACCAACTCCTCCGGATATGTTGACATCGGCACCATGGGAAATCAGCAGTTCAACCACCTTTCAGTATCATAGAGACAAATGATGCAAAATGTAAGACTTTTATGAACTTTATCTTTATCTCACTTCCACCAACTCAACACTGATTTCAAACTACCACCATCTCTACACTTATCAAATACATTTTAATATTCTAATTCAATTGACCTCTCCCTTGTATCTCCTGATATCAAAGAGAGAAAAATCTGTCAATATTCCTTATTGAAACTAAATCAAAGATAAATACAAAAAGAAATGTATTGTAAATATAAACTATATACAAATGTTTGCTGTATTTTGGTTTTTACATGTCACCAATTTTTTTAACTTAGAGCTGAAATATATAAGTATAGTATTAACTCTACACAAAGAAAAACTTACAGGCTACATGTAATGGTGTAGAGTATTATATAAAACCATATCATAACTCACCCTTTCCTGGCCAAAGTTACAGGCCACATGTAATGGTGTAGAGTATTATATAAAACCATATCATAACTCACCCTTTCCTGGCCAAAGTTACAGGCCACATGTAATGGTGTAGAGTATTATATAAAACCATATCATAACTCACCCTTTCCTGGCCAAAGTTACAGGCCACATGTAATGGTGTAGAGTATTATATAAAACTATATCACAACTCACCCTTTCCTGGCCAAAGTTACAGGCCACATGTAATGGTGAAAACTTGACTGCATCCTCCACATTGACTTTGGCTCCACTCTCTAGCAGAGCACTGGTGATCTTTAAAAAGTCAAATGATTTCATATCATGAATGAAAACAACAGAATACAGACAATGAGCAGACTACATACATAATTGTACAGCATGTGATTCAAGTCAGGGGGTGGGCTTTTCACTGAACCTTGACCTTTTCATTATACAAGCAATTCCCACAGTATGATCGTGACCTCTTTCCCAAAACTAATACTGTTAACCAACCTTATGGTGTGTTCTAGTCCCTGTCACTACACTCTGTTCACTCCCCTGTCTGTGTATGATGATAGATTTGCTACCTACCTCTGCATGACCACATTTAGCAGCAATGTGAAGAGGTGTGGCACCACTGTTTCCTGCCAAGTTCACATCGACTTTATCATGGTCCAACAAGTACTGCACACATTCTGTATCCCCCTGTACAAAAATACATTATGTTAGTCATAGAAACTAAGTGTGTTAACACTTATTTATTTATTCATGGTAAACTGTGCACAAGCTTCTCTTGCAGTAGCTTTACATTTTACCTTGTACACATGTATATAACTTTCAAGTAATTTCATGTTGTTGTAATTTTACCTAGTATGTGACATTATCTTGTACGTTACTTAACCTAGTATGTGACTTTACCTTGAATGTGACTTTATCTGGTACGTTACTTAACCTAGTATGTGACTTTACCTTGAATGTGACTTTATCTGGTACGTTACTTAACCTAGTATGTGACTTTACCTAGTATGTGACATTATCTTGTATGTGACTTAAACTAGTATGTGACTTCATCTTGTATGTGACTTTATCTTGTATGTGACTTAACCTAGTATGTGACTTTATCTTGAAAGTGACTTTTATTGTTACATGTATGTAACTTTACCTTGTATGTGACTTTATCTTGCTTGTGACTTAACCTAGTATGTGACTTTATCTGGTACGTTACTTAACATAGTATGTTACTATATCTGGTACGTTACTTAACCTAGTATGTGACTTTACCTAGTATGTGACTTTATCTGGTACGTTTCTTTACCTAGCATGTTACTTTATCTGGTACGTTACTTAACCTAGTATGTGATTTTATCTGGTACGTTACTTAACCTAGTATGTGACTTTATCTGGTACGTTACTTAACCTAGTATGTGACTTTATCTGGTACGTTACTTAACCTAGTATGTGACTTTACCCAGTATGCGACTTTACCTTGAATGTGACTTTTATTGTTACATGTATGTATCTTTACCTTGTATGTGACTTAACCTAGTATGTGACTTTACCTAGTATGTGACTTTACCTTGAATGTGACTTTTATTGTTACATGTATGTAACTTTACCTTGTATGTGACTTAACCTAGTATGTGACTTTACCTTATATGTAGCTAAGTGAAGAGCAGAAAACTGGTTTTTACTGAGGTCGGAACTTTTCACATTTTTCTTCAGCAGTAAATCTATAAGGCTTTCACTTCCTGTTGTAAATGGAAAATAAGATGTTGATGAATAGCACTTTTCTGAGAATCAAATGCTATTATACACAACCTTGTAAGCAATAAAGCATGTTTACTTGATGAGGGATTTTCTATTATCATTTCACACAAAACATACACACTAAATAAAATTTCACTTATGTTTTTGTTCTCTAGTTACATTTTTTGTAGATAGCAATTAAAATTTCACCGTTTCAGACACTAACATTAAAATGTCTACTTACCCCCAAATATACATGCTATGTGAAGCAATGTTAAACCAGTATCTGTTCTTTCCTCTATATTCTCGTCTGTTAACAAGTCAGCTACAGTGGTGTACTCTCCTCTTCTAAAAGGACACAATCAAGATAACTTAACATGATCCATCGCTTCTGTAGGGAAACAGAATGGTTCAGACATCTTTTCCTAAAGGAGATGCAGTCCAGCTAGTTGTATACAGTACTTAAGTATACTGCCTCCTTTGTCTCCCTTCATCAATTTTGTTTGTGTTTATGAAGTCTTCATTTCAGTTGTTCATTTATGTACTCTATGTTGAACACAATAGCAGAGACCAGGTTGTTTCTTAGCTTCCTGAGAAACACAAACCGGTACAACCACAAACAGTACAGATCGGTCTGTTTCAGATTGATGAGAAACACAAACCGATACAACCACAAACAGTACAGATCGGTCTGTTTCAGATTAATGAGAAACACAAACCGGTACAACCACAAACAGTACAGATCGGTCTGTTTCAGATTAATGAGAAACACAAACCGGTACAACCACAAACAGTACAGATCGGTCTGTTTCAGATTGATGAGAAACACAAACCGGTACAACCACAAACAGTACAGATCGGTCTGTTTCAGATTGATGAGAAACACAAACCGATACAACCACAAACAGTACAGATCGGTCTGTTTCAGATTAATGAGAAACACAAACCGGTACAACCACAAACAGTACAGATCGGTCTGTTTCAGATTAATGAGAAACACAAACCGGTACAACCACAAACAGTACAGATCGGTCTGTTTCAGATTGATGACCGATACAACCACAAAAACACAGATTAATGAGAAACAACCGATACAACCACAAACAGTACAGATCGGTCTGTTTCAGATTAATGAGAAACACAAACCGGTACAACCACAAACAGTACAGATCGGTCTGTTTCAGATTGATGAGAAACACAAACCGGTACAACCACAAACAGTAGAGATCAGTCTGTTTCAGATTGATGAGAAACACAAACCGGTACAACCACAAACAGTACAGATCGGTCTGTTTCAGATTGATGAGAAACACAAACCGGTACAACCATAAACCATACAGATCGGTCTGTTTCAGATTCCTGAGAAAAACAAACCGGTACAATCACAAACAGTACAGATCGGTCTGTTTCAGATTAATGAGAAACACAAACTGGTACAACCACAAACAGTACAGACCGTCTGTTTCAGATTAATGAGAAACACAAACCGGTACAACCACAAACAGTACAGATCGGTCTGTTTCAGATTCCTGAGAAACAAAAACCACTTTAAGTACTGAGCATCAAACCAGCTGCTCTAATCAGTCTCTTCTCATGATGAAGTTACGCTGACTATGATCCACTGACCAACTTATAGCAGCCCCCACATTGCACTGCACAGGTGTTTTACAATAGACTGCTTTACTGAAACCCTACTGCATCTTCACCCTCATTATTCTATCTAGTACCCGACAAAATACTGTACTTCATTACCTGACCTGATACTATCAGCTGTATCACCTTTCTGTAGGTTCTTCAGTAATTCTTCAGATTAGTAAAATACAGCTAACCATAGTCATATCTATTAACATTTAACCATAGGCTAACTGTATCTTAATGATCACGAACAATAAATACATACCCACATGCTAACTGCAACTCTGTCCAATCCTTTTCATTCGGACGAAGTTCTTCAATTATTTTTGATCTAAATATTGAGTAACTTTCACTTATCTTCTTTTTCAGTTCGTCTGCAAAAGCAAACAATAGTACAGTGTGTATGAGATTATCAGATCGTGCTGTCTGACACTTTAGTTTAAATGCTCATACTCAAATGACAAAATAGAAAGAACAAATAAACAGGTACACAGATTAAGGACTAGAATTTACCTGCACAAGAGATTGTTGGCCTGGACTTGTAATTCCCCATCACTCATCATGGCTGATTTGTAGGTGTGTGTATTACCCACTCTACAACACGGAAAAGGTTATATATATATATATATATATACATATACATATATATCCGTTTTTTGGGGGGAAAAAAGGCTCTTGAAAGAAAAATGTCTAAGATTTTTCCAATGATGGCAACCATTAATTATAAAGAATTATATGTTTCTGCAGCAGAGAAGGATGAGTGGTCCATTATCAGACAATATATCTGTAGTTTTAAAAAACATGTACCTTTTATCTAGAGGGACTTCTAAAATTATCCAGATCATGAATTTACCCACGTTCTACTTTCAGCCACCCTATGATATGATATGATAGATAAATGATGCAGGCATTCTTATGCCTCTATATCCATATCGTTAAATTAGAAAAAGACATATATAATTAATGGTCACTTCCGGTAAAGGATTTGAAACTAGCAAGATGGTTAAATTTTAGTTTTAAGCATTTCCATTGGTAGTCCAAATTAATTTCTAAGTCTCTGATAGTTTTTGCTTGTATCACCGAATCCGATAGGCTGTTCCACACATCGACAATTCTGAGTCCAAAGGAGTATTTGCGAATATCCGGTCTACAATATTTTTTCTGTAATTTCTGCGAGTTGCCTCTCGTTATGGCTCCTTTATAGTGTTCAAATATCCTGGTGGTAACTTCCTTATCATGAAAATTGTTATTTATTTTATACACATTTATGATATCTCCCTGCAATCTCCTGTACGTAAGTGTTGGAATCCTCAGCTTCTTCAAATGGTCGATATATGATAAAACCTTTAGACCAGGAATTAGATTTGTCGCCCTTCTTTGTACTCTCTCAATTGATTCAATGTCTCTCATCTTGTGTGGGCTCCACACACTTGCTGCGTATTCCAAATGCGGGCGAACTGTAATGCTTTAAACAGTTGTATAAAAGTTGTATTATCCAAGTATATAAAGCATCTTCGAATTAGGCCAACAATACTATTTGCCTTACTTATCAATTGCTAACACGCACCAAGCAATATGTACTTAACCCAATGTAAATACAATTCGATGCAGCTACAGAAAATAAGAAACAATCCTTAAATATTCTTTCTTTACTACTGGATCAGATGTTTCTGTTACTTTTTTGGAGAGTGCATGCTTCTTCCTTATTTTTGCTAGTGTGTCCTAATCAATTGGAAATTGATGTTTGTTGTTTTTTCTGGTTTTGATAATTCTGGATGGTACATAGTTATCAATTAAGTACTGAATTTTGCTTTTAAAAATTTGCCAGTTTCATGGATGTCCCTAACTTCATTTAATAAATCTTTCCAATTGGTCTCTTTGATTTCGTTGTTAATTTGCTCATAGTTTGCTTTTTGTAACATTTCTTAGATATTTTTCTATATGTTACCCTTGTATTACAGACTATGCTCAGAAGAATAACACTGTGGCCACCCTTCCCCAGTGGACGCTGGTACTCTATTGATGTAACGGTGCTTTCCTTGTTAGTTATTACAAGATCTAAATCATGGGGTGTGTCGTTTCCTCTCCATCATGAAGGTTTGTTGATTTTTTGCCATAAGAAATTGTCTTGTAAGCAGTTGAGGAATCTATATTCTTGTTTTCGATACTATCTCCTTTAGAATTCCACGTTTCCCAGTTGATATTCGGATAGTTGAAATCCCCCATAATTACTAAGTGAGTATAGTTTTTCTTTGATACCTCACTGATTAATCTTATCGAGTTTCTATTACTCTCATCCGTTCCACTATTGGATCTGTATATCAATCCAATAAGTATTTTTTAGTGTTTATTTAAAGAGATTTCTATGAATATATTTTCCTGGAACAATGTTTCTATTTCCACCTCTCTGGATGGAAGCAGCTTGTTCCAAACTTGTGTTTATAACTAAATCAAGCTAGGCAGATAAGTCATAATAAGTCTAAGTCTAACCAGGGACGTAGATAACAATTATCTACGTCCCTGGTCTAACTGGACATAATTTTGAATAATTTAATTGATTGACACAATAATTTTCAATAATTCACAACTACCTGATTACTCAAAGCGGTAACTTTCACTCAAATGCAGGATTATTGTTGATATTTGGGGTTGAAACCAACCTGTATAAAGTTGTTTTTGTGTCTCTTATTATTTATCATTCATTTATAACTTACATCAGCACACACAATGTAGTATTCCCGAGTCATTTCATAAGACATGACTGTATATCCATACTTTCAACCAAAGTTAGTCTGTATGCCTTACCTTTAACAAACTGTCAAGTCCTTTTTCCTGGCAACAAGTTCCAGTGCATCCTCTCAAACAGATCGTAAATGATTCACAAACCTGATGCGAAACTAATCCAACGTCAGAAACTTGTTAAAAATGGATAAAACGCTAAAACGTATTTCAAAATTGATAAAAACGGCTGAATTTACATATTTCCAAACTTTTTCATACATCTCTTATGTCTCCTTATACCGGAAATAACGAACGAGAACTCGTAGGTGAAGGTCATCAAGTGTACATGCCTTTGAAAATTCAGGGCGCTTTCGTGTAAGCAGTTGAACGGTTTGACCGGTTAAATCTGCAGGAAAACACCAGGTACAGATCGGGACCGAGGCTGGAATGCGGAATATTTGGCACGTGCAGTTTTAGTGATCCAGCCGTACCTGTCCGAAACTAATTTGCTGAATATTATTAATTTTCAGATTTTGAACATAAAAAGTAGGGTTTGTGCACTCACACATTTCTGGCAGCATTATGCTAAAAAGTATGAGTGAAATGGATGGTATCTTAATTTAAGTCAATGGATTTATGCTTGACGGGAATTTCCGAAACTGTGCATTTTGAGCTTTACACATATCCGATTCAACGTCCGGTACAAGGGCTTTCGTGTACATAGTGGAATTACTCCAAACCTGAACCGTTTCAACCGGGTTAGGTGAATGCAGCCGTACGTTCGTTGGGTAAATTTTATCCGGTCACGTCATGTGTATGGTCAAAAGAATGTAATGAAGGATCAAATCTACTTCAATCTTTTAAAAATCTGACACGTTGAATAAATTAATTTCAATATCTACATTTTCTTAAATCTGCGATTTTTTTCAGGGCGTGAAAACTTGTTCGCCGCACAAAAAACCGTGATATTTTCCTTGATGTTTTGCCGTAACAACTCATTTACTGTTTGATTTAAGTTATTTTTTTTGTAACTGCAAACAAAAATTATACTAGACTATCTTATTTTAACTACGCCCAGAAAGCACGCGTAATTCACATTCAATCTAGCATTTATCAGGATCGCGACTACAAGGATTGCGTTGGTTTATACTGATTCTCGCCTACAGTACATTGTTAAAATCTTATGTACCGGCCTGTCTAAACTTTCAGCATTCAAACGACTTCTTCTCAATAACCAAATGGCGCAGAGTCCTGTTATATTAAGTCTTTAGCTTTCTGAGGTAAAGGGCTACCAAGTTTGTTATTATTATTTTTGAAATACTTTCTAGATCATAGTGGTCAAATATGTTGAATGATTTAAACAACTTTCTCTAAATAACCAAAATGTCCATTATGCTGATATACGACCTCTAACATGCTGGGATGAAAGGCTACAAATATGTCTAAATGAATGACTTAAATACTTTTAAGGTCACAAGAATCAAAATATCTTAAAATATGCTGGGATGAAAGGCTACAATTATGTCTAAATGAATGACTTAAATACTTTTAAGGTCACAAGAATCAAAATATCTTAAAATATGCTGGGATGAAAGGCTACAATTATGTCTAAATGAATGACTTAAATACTTTTAAGGTCACAAGAATCAAAATATCTTAAAATATTTAAACAATTTCTTTTCAATAGCCAAAAATGTCCAGGTTGGTTATATTAGGTTTGAGCCATGAGGATGAATAGCTGCCATTTTGTTGACACAATTGACCTTGACCTATGCCAAAGCAAGAGAGGTCAAATATGTTAAAATCTTCAAACAACTTCTTTTTGATAACCAAAATGCTATGAGTGTCGATGTAGGACCTCTCTTATTATGTAGAAGAGATCTTATTTCATATAGATATATATAAGATTTAAATAAAGATATTTCGTATCATTTCAATGATGGGTAAATGAAATCTCGTTTCTAACATGTTTTTATATACTTAGATATTGACTAGGGACCAACATTTCTCCTTAATTTGGGACCAGAGTGTTTGCTTGATTAGGGACCAACATTGGTCCTTTATTAGGGACCAGAGTGTTTCTTGATTAAGGACCAACATTGGTCCTTGATTAGGGACCAGAGTGTTTGCTTGATTAGGGACCAACATTGGTCCTTGATTATGGCCCAGAGTGTTTGCTTGATTAGGGACCAACATTGGGACCAACATTGGTCCTTGATTATGGCCCAGAGTGTTTGCTTGATTAGGACCAACAGTGGTCCTTGATTAGGGACCAGAGTGTTTGCTTGATTAGGGACCAACATTGGTCCTTGATTAGTGACCAGAGTGTTTGCTTGATTAGGGACCAACATTGGTCCTTGATTAGGGACCAGAGTGTTTGCTTGATTAGGGACCAACATTGGTCCTTGATTAGGGACCAGAGTGTTTGCTTGATTAGGGACCAACATTGGTCCTTGATTAGGGACCAGAGTGTTTGCTTGATTAGGGACCAAATTTCTTGATTAGGGACCAGAGTGTTTTATGATTTGATTAGGGACCAACATTTGGTCCTTGATTAGGGACCAGAGTGTTTGCTTGATTAGGTACCAACATTGGTCCTTGATTAGGGACCAGAGTGTTTGCTTGATTAAGGACCAACATTGGTCCTTGATTAGGGACCAGAGTGTTTGCTTGATTGGGGACCAACATTGGTCCTTGATTAGGGACCAGAGTGTTTGCTTGATTAGGGACCAACATTGGTCCTTGATTAGGGACCAGAGTGTTTGCTTGATTAGGGACCAACATTGGTCCTTGATTAGGGACCAGAGTGTTTGCTTGATTAGGGACCAAAATTGGTCCTTGATTAGGGACCAGAGTGTTTGCTTGATTAGGGACCAACATCGGTCCTTGATTAGGAACCAGAGTGTTTGCTTGATTAGGACCAACAGTGGTCCTTGATTAGGGACCACAGTGTTTGCTTGATTAAGGAACAACATTGGTCCTTGATTAGTGACCAGAGTGTTTCCTTGATTAGGGACCAACATTGGTCCTTGATTAGGGACCAGAGTGTTTGCTTGATTAGGGACCAACAGTGGTCCTTGATTAGGGACCAGAGTGTTTGCTTGATTAGGGACCAACATTGGTCCTTGATTAGTGACCAGAGTGTTTCCTTGATTAAGGACCAACATTGGTCCTTGATTAGGGACCAGAGTGTTTGCTTGATTAGGGACCAACATTGGTCCTTGATTAGGGACCAGAGTGTTTGCTTGATTAGGGACCAACATTGGTCCTTGATTAGGGACCAGAGTGTTTGCTTGATTAAGGACCAACATTGGTCCTTGATTAGGGACCAGAGTGTTTGCTTGATTAGGGACCAACATTTCTTATTGATTATAATTAGTGGTCCTTGATTAGGGACCAACATTGGTCCTTGATTAGGGACCAACATTGGTCCTTGATTAGGGAACAGAGTGTTTGCTTGATTAGGGACCAACATTGGTCCTTGATTAGGGACCAGAGTGTTTGCTTGATTAAGGACCAACATTGGTCCTTGATTAGGGACCAGAGTGTTTGCTTGATTAGGGACCAACATTGGTCCTTGATTAGGGACCAGAGTGTTTGCTTGATTAGGGACCAACATTGGTCCTTGATTAGGGACCAGAGTGTTTGCTTGATTAAGGACCAACATTGGTCCTTGATTAGGGACCAGAGTGTTTGCTTGATTGAGGACCAACATTGGTCCTTGATTAGGGACCAGAGTGTTTGCTTGATTAGGGACCAAAATTGGTCCTTGATTAGGGACCAGAGTGTTTGCTTGATTAGGGACCAACACTGGTCCTTGATTAGGGACCAGAGTGTTTGCTTGATTAGGGACCAACAGTGGTCCTTGATTAGGGACCACAGTGTTTGCTTGATTAAGGAACAACATTGGTCCTTGATTAGTGACCAGAGTGTTTCCTTGATTAGGGACCAACATTGGTCCTTGATTAGGGACCAGAGTGTTTGCTTGATTAGGGACCAACATTGGTCCCTGATTAGGGACCAGAGTGTTTGCTTGATTAGGGACCAACATTGGTCCTTGATTAGGGACCAGAGTGTTTGCTTGATTAGGGACCAACATTGGTCCTTGATTAGGGACCAGAGTGTTTGCTTGATTAGGGACCAACATTGGTCCTTGATTAGGGACCAGAGTGTTTGCTTGATTAGGGACCAACATTGGTCCTTGATTAGGGACCAGAGTGTTTGCTTGATTAGGGACCAACATTGGTCCTTGATTAGGGCCCAGAGTGTTTGCTTGATTACGGACCAAAATTGGTCCTTGATTAGGGCCCAGAGTGTTTGCTTGATTAGAGACCAACATTTCTTATTGATTATAGCCCAGAGTGTTTGCTTGATTAGGGATTAGGGACCAGAGTGTTTGGTCCTTGATTAGGGACCAGACTTGATTAGGGACCAACATTGGTCCTTGATTAGGGACAAGAGTGTTTGCTTGATTAGGGACCAACATTGGTCCTTGATTAGGGACCAGAGTGTTTGCTTGATTAGGGACCAACATTGGTCCTTGATTAGGGACCAGAGTGTTTGCTTGATTAGGGACCAACATTGGTCCTTGATTAGGGACCAGAGTGTTTGCTTGATTAGGGACCAACATTGGTCCTTGATTAGGGCCCAGAGTGTTTGCTTGATTAGGGACCAAAATTTGGTCCTTGATTAGGGACCAGAGTGTTTGCTTGATTAGGGACCAACATTGGTCCTTGATTAGGGACCAGAGTGTTTGCTTGATTAGGGACCAACATTGGTCCTTGATTAGGGACCAGAGTGTTTGCTTGATTAGGGACCAACATTGGTCCTTGATTAGGGACCAGAGTGTTTGCTTGATTAGGGACCAACATTGGTCCTTGATTAGGGACCAGAGTGTTTGCTTGATTACGTACCAACATTGGTCCTTGATTAGGGACCAGAATGTTTGCTTGATTAGAGACCAACATTGGTCCTTGATTAGGGACCAGAGTGTTTGCTTGATTAGGGACCAACATTGGTCCTTGATTAGGGACCAGAGTGTTTGCTTGATTAGGGACCAACATTGGTCCTTGATTAGGGACCAGAGTGTTTGCTTGATTAGGGACCAACATTGGTCCTTGATTAGGGACCAGAGTGTTTGCTTGATTAGGGACCAACAGTGGTCCTTGATTAGGGACCAGAGTGTTTGCTTGATTAGGGACCAACATTGGTCCTTGATTAGGGACCAGAGTGTTTGCTTGATTAGGGACCAACATTGGTCCTTGATTAGGGACCAGAATGTTTGCTTGATTAGGTACCAACATTGGTCCTTGATTAGGGACCAACATTGGTCCTTGATTAGGGACCCAGGGACCAAGTGTTTGCTTGATTAGGGACCAACATTGGTCCTTGATTAGGGACCAGAGTGTTTGCTTGATTAGGGACCAACA